GCAGTCTGATCAGGATCCATGCAGTTTGCTTACAAACCCTCTAACAAGTAGAGAAACTGATAGCGAACAGCATGGATCCTGATCAGACTGCGCGGATGCGCAGGCTGGTCTGGATCCATGCTGGTCGCAAACCCATTATGTTGGTTTTGTCATGACGCGGCTCATTTTAGTATCTATATACTTAACATGTATTTCACTGTCTTTTTGAAAATCCATTGTTATGCAAACTTGTGTATTCTTGTGAATTGCAATATTGTCACCAGGGTGCAGCACTGTTGTATCCTAAGTCTTTCTTTATTACAATATACAACAGTGTTGCTATGGTAACACGTTTATCACAATAGGTTGATCACATGATTTTGTGTTAATAAATCAGTGTTATATAATAATGTTGTTATAAAGTAGAATATATATATTAAATTCAAAAGCAGTTTTCTGTTTGTCTTCTCCTTTAGTCTGTGGCATAGTTGGTTTCATTGCCTGGAATTGTGCAGTTAAGAATGTACATAAATGAAATTGTTGGCCCCATTGTTGTACAGTAAAGGTATGTACATTAGTGAAATTGTTGTATATTTTCCATCTTTACATACAAGGAATTATTGTACATGTACATACAATGAAAGATGGTACAGCTTGCACATATTTATTCATGAAATTATTGTACATTTCACATACATGATATGTGCACACAAGGAATTATTGTGCAGTTCACATAATTATGTGATATGTAGTGTACATATAAGGGAGTGTTGTACATTTTACACAATAAATTATGTACGTAAACAAAATTATTGTGCATTTAATGCATATACAATGAATGATTGAACGTTTTGCACATATTTATACAAAGAATTATTGTACATCGCATCTTGCATATATTTATACATGGACTTATTGTACATTTCATACATATTCATACAAGGAATTATTGTACATTTCACATAATTATGTGATATGTGGTGTACATATAAGGGAGTGTTGTACATTTTACATAATAAATTATGTACATAAACAGAATTATTGTGCATTTAATGCATATACAATGAATGATTGTACATTTTGCACATATTTATACAAAGAATTATTGTATGTCGCATCTTGCACATATTTATACATGGACTTATTGTGCATTTCATACAAATACATTTAAGGAATTATTGTACATTTTACATATGTGATATGTAGTGTACATATAGGGGAGTACAGTACATTTTAAATATGAGGTTAAAAAATAATTGTTTTAAATGTGCACATAAGGAATTATTGTCCATTTTATGTGTGCACTTACTAGGGTTTGTCTAAAATATGCACATTTGAGGAATCATTATACATTTACATATATACATACAATACATTTGGGATATTTGTACATGCAAGTAATTGTTGTACATTTTACATTATGTACATGAAAAGAATTATTGTATAGTGTACACAAGTGAATTTAAAACATAGAGGTACATATAACATACAAATAAACAATTGTTTTGCATTTTACATGTGTATAATTATATAATAAAAAGTGTACATTTTGCATTTGTACATACAAGACATAGTTGTGCACGTATGTTACATAAATAATGTAAACAGATAAGGAATTTTTTAACTTTTTACTTAATATGTAAAATGAAGATTTTTGTACAATATGGACATCCCACAAACAAAATATTTTATATCAAAATATTTGACACCAATACTTATGGTATAGTTTTGGGGAAAAAAATAAGGTGCTAATAGGCACTTAATAGTTCCCTGATTGCCTGAGTCTTTTTTGAAAAATGTTTATTTTGGGTGCAGGTATGTCAAACATTTTACATTTGGATAAAAAATTCACTAAGAATAGGCTCAAAACGCTACAGAATCAAGCAGTCTTAATTTTTAGTGATGTAAACATAAACATACATGTAAATCCTTGTTCTGAAATCAGAAAATGACTGGATAAAATGAAGGTAATAAATACTACAATATATATATTGATTCATTTGTGGATATGTTAATGAGAGATCACGAAAATACGACTCACCATGCAAATACATGATAACGTTAGACAGATCGAACTTCCAGAATGCACTGACTCGGTAACATTCCTTCCGGAATTATCAAAAGTTTAAAAGCCAAAGCTGTGAAAGAAAAAAATATATATATATTATGCAAACTAAATAAACCAAAAAACAGCTCATAAAGTAATATTTGAAAATTTCAATTAAAAGAGGCAATTTGAGTCAGATTCCCGCGGTTGTTTTTTTTAATACGTCTATTGTTAGAATTTTCTAGTTAGAACTGCAGGCTTCAAATGAGAACCATGGGCCACTTGAGTGTAATTTTCTAACTTGCTTTCACAATTATCTTCAGGATAATTCTGCGGAAAATAAGCAATGCTATTGACGCACAGGATTGCCACCAGAAATGCTTGAAACCAAAATGCAATTGAACAGAATAGTATTGTGTGTATTGGAATTTTACATTTAATTATTTTTACGGTATTAGCAGAAACATATCATGTCTTGTTTGATGAGCTTCAAAACGTACAAATGTAGAGAAACCGACTGTCAAACATTAAAATATGTCAATCTTAAAAAATGTTGTCAATTAGAAGCAGTATATAGGAAAGTGAAACAGAGAACCGTGTGTGGTAAAAATCGGTATATTTATGAATCGACATATTAAAAAAAAAATTGCATACAAGTCCACTTATCTGGAGAAATTACAGGCGGACGTTATCAATGTGAATGAATCGGTAACCATTTTGTCAAGTCGGTATTGAAGGACATCGCATTTATTTTCTTTTTTTCTGTTTTAAGTTTATCAGAAAATGCTCGGATTTGACCAATGATAAAAAATAGCTTCAAATCTGCAGTTAATGTCTAAATATTTGGACTGGTCGATCGCTTGATTCAAGTGTGCAGTAGTAATGCTTGCAGATAAAGCGAGATAACTCGTACACGTTTCTTACATTAAATTTGCATGTCCATATTCGCTTCAGTCCCCTGATAATGGAAGTTATAACGCGTATTTCATGTGTTTGAAAAATTACTGCATGTGCAGAATTCTTAACACAAATGTATTTCCCACCAAATTCTACGATTTTCGTATACATGTATATTTATTTGAAAAAAATGAGATTAATGGCAGAAAACAAATCATATCAATATTTGAATATTAAATATGTGCTGGTGAAGTGTGAAATGATAAACAGCTTTATTTATATTTTATATAGACTTAACGAATTGTTTTTTATGATATCCATACGCCTCATGATCCCCATCCACACCAACAACAGAAAACAACAACAGTAACTGAAATATTATCAGAAAAGTTAAGTGCACTAACATAGTTCCATTATCTAGATTGCATCGTTCAATCATCGTTAATGTTAAATACTTTAAATACATTACTAAAATTTTAACATAATTGAAAAAAATATTACACAACAAAAAGTAATATAAATTGACAAAGTGAACGATGAGGACGTGAACGCAATCATGTTTGTTGTTCTTGTTACTGTTGAAATGGCTTCACAATCAAAGTTTAAGCGTTTTGATATGCGCAACTTGTGATTTTATCCTTTTTGAAAATCGTGTATTTACATGAGTTCAAATTTAGATTTAAACATATTTTAATTTAGCAAATACATGTAAACATTATGGAAATGATACGTATTTAACTAAAAGCAAATGTTAAGGGCGACAAGGTCAAGTTAAATTAGATTAAGCCCTTTCTCAGAAATTAAATTGTAGGAAAATACTTTTTACTTTTAACATGTATATAAGAATTAAAATATGTAATTGAATTTTACAGTTCATCTGTTTGTTAATTGTACAGAAATTTTGATTATAATGTGCGATCCATCCACTGGTTTCCATCCTGGCCTCTCTTTGGCACTGATAATTAACTAAATACAATGGTAGATTTAGATTTCAGGGATTTAGGGTTTGGGTATATTTGACATTTGACATTAGATTAGATCAATTTAGCTTAATGAAAAAGTTTTGAATTGAAACAAGAACATATGAAAAATCAGTTATTATCAAAACGATGGCTCGTCTTTAATTCTTGAACTGATTCAAAAATGACAACGTTCTCTTAGTATTCTAAATTTCCAAGACCAAAAAGTAATGTGTCAATGTTTAATGGATGATGAGATCGGGTTTCGTGGGATAGTATTATTCATTGTTCGACGTAATGATTACAAATTAAAAAAAAAATCTCAAACGAAATCAAGGAACAAACCAATCGTTTTATAAGATGGAAAGACCTGGAAAGGTTGTGACAGAAATGTTTGGATTTATTTCAATATTGGAACCTTAATAATTAGCACAATTAACCTCTGGCACCAGTATATGTACATCCGACTCTATACTGTTGACTGACCAACTCGGACATTTACAAAAACATAATTCAATTTAAGGCATATGCAAAGTTTGAATTAATTATATTTTGTAGTTTTTGTATATCAAACTGTTTATTTAGTGAAATTTTAACAATACAGAACCCCAAAGGAAGCGAACGTGGATTTTTAATTGTTAAAATTTCACTTAATTGATAAACACTGTTATGTGCCTATATGTAACCCTAGTACACGGCTGTGAGAAAGTTACATAAACACATATAAAGCAAATTGAAAATTACAATAATAAACTAAATATTCCGTAATCACTTTTAAAACGGTATTTAAAAGCAAGTATAGTACAAAAATTCTTACACGTATATTTTACATATGTGATACACGTACTCTATCTTTACAACAGATTATCAGTTTTGATTAGTTCAAATAGGTGATTTAATTATCATTAATTATCAATATTGATAAAGATTTATCGGTCTGTTTTAACAACAACACTATATGTTATCATAAATATTCAAAAGTCAATATATTGGCCTACTGTACTCACGTATATTTTTTTCTCGTTTGTAAAATTACAATTATTAAACTTATTAACATGTTCATCTTAACATCGAAAATATTATTAATAAAATCTCTTAACAAGTTTTAAAATATTCAGCATGTAGGTGTGTTTGCAGATTTTACCTCAATTGTAAAAAAAAACGTTATTAACGGTTTATGACTCTGTCACTGGTTAAACATCGGTTAAATGAACAAATGTTTGACGAAGTGTAAAATAAACTTAATCAGATTTAGTGAGCAGACGAACTATTTTATCTTACTTTCACATATAACCTTGGTGAACTTTTATATAGAGTTGGATTTTTATGATAAATATATAATTGGATATTTTAGCTAGCAAAGGTAAGGTAGGTTTGTTTTACTAATTCCCTGTGTTCCCTGTAATGAATGAGGAAATTAGGTGTATAGTATTATAGTCTACAAACTTGCTTTTTGCTGTATGTATGATGTTTTTGTCTATATATGTTCTTACGTTATTGATACACATGTGACTTAATTATGCATTGATTAAAGGCTCATCTATGTATAGCCTCACAAACGAATAATTGTTTTATTCTTTTAAAAAGAGCAATCTTTAATTTTAAAACGTTTGAATAATGACTTTAGAACATATTCGATGCTTATTACATGAACAGAGTTACGCTAAATGTGAAATTATTTGCCATTAAAAGAAGCAAGATGTGAACGATGTAGTACTTTGACTTCCGTACAAAATACTAAATCACTATAACTGAGCTTATTGAAGAAAAAGATGGTATAAGTAGTTAATTTTTGGAAACAAACATAAAAAGATTTTTGGAAAATAAAAAAAAGGCATTTCTGGGACATATTGGGCCTTTAAATTAAATTAAGACGTATCGATCTATATAAACTAAGCAACAGTGAATACATTAAATGTATATAATATGTAAATTCGTACATGGTTGCTCATTTAATTAAATACAAAAATGAACATGTTTAAGTAAAACTTTATGCACAATGAGTTCTCAAGATCTTTTTTTATAATCTGTTATTTATTACCTACATATTCGACTTAAGAAAGATAATAACGTTCACGCAAATTCCTTATGAAAAATCTTACAGTGTCAGTTTCCGTATCATTTGCACCTTGTTTATTGGTTGAATACAATACTAAATTCTATTGGACGAGTATGCATGTGTCAAAAACTATATTGGACGAGTCAACAGCTTTCAAAACTATATTGGACGAGTACACAGCTGTCAAACCTATATTGGACAGGTACATATCTGCCAAAACTACATTGGACGAGTGCACATCTGTGAAACCTAAGTCAAATGAGGCGCTAGTTTGCGACAAAATAATTGCGACATTTGACACAACTTTGTTACTTTGATTGATATGATTTTTTTTGGATACAAGCAAAGATGGAGTGTGATATGCATTTGTTATTTTTATTTGGAGTCTGAATATAAAAAAGTACGGGGCTTAATGGTGTACGTTATGCAAATCTGACGGACTCTGGAAATGAAAACGAGGATGAATTGATAAGATAAGATCAAATGGAACATCATGTGGTGCAAGCGCTGAAAGTTTATTGGGTTTGGTAAAAAGATACATTGAAATACGGCAATTTTGATCACACAGACGATTCCACGTGCATATGACACTGAGCCACATCACATAAACAAGCAGAAATTCGTCCTTAATTCAAATAATTACCGATAGGCGTCAGTTTTATCATTAAAACACCTGTCCAGAATATAAATTGAAACTTTTTGAAAGTTTCTAGTTCCACCCACTGTTATATACCGCCTTAAATTACCGTCTTTTTAAATGTACCCATGTAACTTAAACCGGAATAACATTGGTTACAATGAGATGTTTAGAGGTGTCAAATGAATGCATAAAATAAACTCATACTTTTCTATTAATACTGCAAAATACATACAAAAGCATTGCACGGAATACGATATTGTAAATAAGCCGGAGATGTTAAATGTCGGACATAAAATCTAAATCTTAGCTTATTGTATGAAAGATAAAATACGTTCTTAGTTTTGTCATTTTTTTACCTACATGAATGTTGTTAATGGTTGTGTCTATCAAACGTATGACATACGTAAATAAACCATGACAATTAAACTGTGTTAACAACACACAGTCAACCATGGAAATCGTGGGTGATTCGGTGAATACAAAATTGAAAACAGATTTGTAAACAAAATATTTAAATGGAAAACTGATTAAAGGTAATGGTGATACAATTTACTAGATTAAGCAAATATTTTGAAGCACTTTTTGTAATAACATTTCAACAGTTACTGTTGTGTTTTTCGGTTGTTGTTGATGATGTCGCTGTTGCTGTTTCTGTTGTTGTTGTAATGATGATTTGGTAATTATGAAGATTGGTGAAGGAAATATGCTGGAGCACATTTTATAAAAATGATGTTTTAGTTACTTTTGTTGTTTTCTGTTGTTGTTGGTATTTATGTTGTTAGATAATGGTGATGGAATAATGATGATTATGATGATAATAATGATAACCATGACGACGACGACGATGATGACGACTCCGATGATGATGATGATGATGATGATGTTGAAATAATAATAATGATAACCATAATGACGACGATGATGCTGACAACGCCTACGATGATGATGATGATGATAACGATCATGATGAATCAACGTTGTATAAAATATTTTCTTTTCAGATATAATACATGATTTCCTAACTTTCATCACACAATGGCCGTTAACGTTCCCGGACTCATTTCCATCATTGTATTTTACCTTTTGATCCTACTGGTTGGATTATGGGCGGCAAGAAGAACAAGACAGAAAGAAGGCAAGGCCAGCTCCGAGCACGTGATGTTGGCGGGACGTAATATTGGCGCCTTTGTTGGGATATTCACAATGACAGGTAAACATTAGTTATGTTAACAGTATCCAGTAATGTCAACATTATCCAGTAATGACATACTTGTACTTCGTCTCGAATTCATGGAATTTGGCAAAGTAAATATTATCCAGTAATGGCATACCCTGTCTCGAATTTGGAATAGTCACTTAGTTGCATTCAGATTTAGCTCCCATGTATGTGCGTATTCATCCTTTTACATTTATTTACTTATTTGTTTGTTCGTTTGTTCGTCCCTTTCTTTCTTTCATTCTTTTTTGTTCTTTATGCTTTATATTTATTTATTGTACTATAATTATTTATTTTTGCTTAACATATGTTGGCGATAGAAAAATTGTTTGTCCTTTTATTTCATATTTAAAACAGTAACTAATTACCAATAAAAAGTATCCCATCTGAAAAACATATAAAATGATAGACGTTTGAAAGAAGATTAAACGTTATGGAGAATGAGTAAAAGAGCATTGCATACCATATCATATCAGCCGGGAAAAATACATACAAACAACACACATGTTGGACAAGGCCATTTTAACATTAATTTATTTTTGAACACGAAGGTATGAAAGGTATATCAGTCAATGATTTTAAGATTTTGCCCTACTTTTGTTACCATTATGAGCAAAAAAAGGCTACCTACTGCTACACTTAACATCGTTTAATTTAGCTTAATGTCTTCAGCGTACCCATTTCTATACTATGACATAACGTGTAAGAAGCCAACAATTTTACCCATGCTCGGATTGTTTATCAAAAATGTTTATATAGTGAAGCTATACATCTTTTATTGATGATTCAAACAGGTTTATATCTTGTAAAATAGTTTGATTCAGACAAGAACAAAGTCCGTTTTGCATACATGTATAATGTTAATTAGTTGCTTCTGTTATTCTTTAATTGCAGCAACGTGGGTGGGAGGAGGTTTCATAAACGGAACATCAGAATATATTGTCAAAGATGGTTTTGTTTGGTGCCAGGCTCCATTTGGATATTCAGTAGCGTTAGCGTTGGGTAATTATTTAAAAATATTATATGTTTGGATGACCTCCGGGCGTCCGTGGATAAGTGGTTTATATTGTTGACTTCAACCTTGCCCCTTACCGCTGTGGGTTCAAATCCCGACAGGAACTTTGGATTAGTCATGATTTGAAGCTATCCAGCTGTGGTTCTTACACAGGTGCATTTGTTTGTTTGTTTGTTTCATTTTACGCCTTTTCCCAACAGCATTTCAGTCATACAGGCGGGTAGTTTCCTTATTTAATCCTTGGGTGTTACACCAGTACTAGACTACCTTCCTCCGCGCTTAACTACCAAAGAATCTCCCGGGGATCGAACCCACGCTAGGGAGGTGACTGGATTAGAAATCATCGACTCTTACCCCTCGACCAAGGAGGCGGTGCCGTTCGTGCCTGAAATAATACACAGAAGGACACCCCACCAGTTAAGCTTTAACGTCGCAATATAATCCATACTGACTGTCGGCCTGACGTTAAACCAAATCGAACAAATCAACTTACGACCCAATTATTTAGCATGGTAATTCGTTTAAAACATCTATATTTTAGCTTGCTTAAACTTCATTCATGCTAGAGCATCTCTTTTCTTACAATCAATATGTTACAATTTATTTAAATAAAGGAGAACAATTACAAAATGCAACTCCAAATTCTTCGCGTGGATCGTTTTCTTCATGGGTTGGTCATTATACACATATAGTAAACAAAAATACACGGAGGACTTCTCACTCGGTAAACATCACTCATTGAAAACTTCTGACAAAGTAAAGACTGCACACAGTAAACATCACTCACTAAGGACTTCTTACAAAGTGAAGACTTTCCACACAGTAAACATCAACCACTGAGGACTTCTAACAAAGAGAGGACTTCCCACACAGTAAACATCACTTACTGAGGACTTCTAACAAAGTGAGGACTGCACACAGTAAACATCACTTGCTGAGGACTTCTTACAAATTGAGGACTTCTCACACAGTAAATATCACTTACTGAGGACTTCTAACAAAGTTAGGACCTCAAACACAGTAAACATCACTCATTGAGGACTTCTAACAAAGTGAGGACACTCACACAGTAAACATCACTTACTGATGACTTCTAACAAAGTTAGAACTGCACAGAGTAAACATCATTCACTGAAGACTACCAACAAAGTGAGGACTTCTCACAGTAAAACATCACTTACTGAGGACGTCTAACAAAGTGAGGACTGCACAGAGTAAACATCACTGAGGACTTCTAACAAAATGAGGACTACACACAGTAAACATCACTTGCTGAGGCCTTCTAACAAAGCGAGAACTGTACACAGTAAACATCACTCACTGAGGATTTCTACCCAAATGAGGACTTCCCAAACAGTAAACATCACTCACTGAGGACTTCTATCCAAGTGAGGACTTCCCAAACAGTAAACATCACACACTGAGGACTTCTATCCAAGTGAGGACTTCCCACACAGTAAACATCACTCACGGAAGATTTTTTAAGAAAGTGAGGACTTCTCACACAGTAAAGGTGACTGGTAGTATAATGGGACAGTACAGGGGCAGTCTAATTTTTTTTTAATAAATAATGATCACTCAATATATATATTCTTCTTAACACCCTTTTAAACGTTTCATTTCGATACCAGTTTGTTCGATGTATTAACATTGCATGTACCTTTGTAATAATAAAAAAGCAATTCAACTTATACAGGTGGTTACTTCTTTGCGAGTAAGATGAGGTCTCAGGGCTATATCACAATGTTGGACCCTCTGTCTCGGAAATATGGGGAGCGTATGGGCGGTCTCTTGTTTATCCCTGCTTTACTCGGGGAAATATTTTGGTCTGCAGCAATCCTGTCAGCTTTAGGTAAGATTGAAATTATATTACTCATTTTTATAATGATGCATTTTAGTTACCAAAAAATGTTTCATTTTACCATAACTTATCCGCAGGCTAATCGTAGGAGAGTTTTGACTAAAAATGTGGTCTGGGCTGTTCTTGATATGCTTTCCTCCGCAGAAATAATATTGAGTAAAAGATGCAGTTCTAAAGAGTTATTACTCCGTTGAGAACGCAATCGAATCATGTTAACGTTAGAAGTAAGTATACTCCATTTTTTACAAGTTTTTTTTGTTGTTTATAAACTTACTTTTACAACTTTAATAACATATAGAAATAATAAGTAGAATTAATTGCATACATATGTGATAAAATTATTTATCAAGATAATTTCTAAATTAAAGTTGCACTTAATTTCATGAAAAAATGCTTTGAAAACAGTACATTAGTTTTTACAGTTTCATAAAGATGTTCAATTTTATAATTTTGTGTGTGTATCGTATTTGATATAATGACAACATTTTATTTTATCTAGGTGCCTCTCTCAGCGTAATACTTGATTTAGATTCAACAATTTCAATAATCGTGTCAGCCTGTATTGCCGTGTTCTACACATTGTTTGGTGGACTCTACTCAGTAGCTTACACAGATGTTGTACAACTTATCTGCATATTTGTTGGACTCGTAAGTTTTATTAAAGGAACCTAAACCATAAAATTTAAAAAAATTACAAAAAAAACAAGTGAGAACTAAAAATAGGAAACCCTGCAAAGGATAACAAAATAATATACTCAAAATTAAATTGAAAATCGATTTTTGCGAGTAGCATTTGAGGGAACAGCGGACTCAATTTGCACATCAAAAATGAGTATTCTGGAAAAAACGGAGTAATGGAAAAGAAATCCTGAAAATTTGCACAGAAGTTATCAATCGGTACAAAAATGTAGAAAAAATATTTTGATGTCTCATCATGTCAAAAAAGTCCCTTTAAATTGTACAAAATATTCATCAAAATATTTGTTGTTTTTAGTGATTTAGCATTTTCTTACTAATGAATAAAACGTATATGTACATGTATTTAAGATAATAATTTTGTTTTTTTATCTTTTACTATCAATTAATAATTATTAACTTTACATCCATCCAATATATGAAATGGCGCTATCTGTGAATATAACGCAGACCGCGATGAGTATCTTTCGCTGCCAGAGGATTACGGTTTTATTAATCACCTATTTGCCACAGGGTTTTCTAAGAAATTACTAAATTATTAATTAATATAATTATTATTATTATTTGTTATTAGTATTGTAATAATTATATATGTTTCCAAATATGCTAGTATAACAATAATTATTGTCGATGGTATAATTTTCTATATATTTATTATTATTTTCATTATTATTATTAATATATTATTATTATTATTATTATTATGATTATTATATAGAAACGGCTTAAGCCGTCCATATGACAGTGAAAGGTTTAATAATCATCCTCTTGTGAAATCGTAGATTTTTTATAGATTGCTTACATGAGATGTATAGCATTTTGATGTTTCAGAATAAAACAACAAATTATTTAGATAATATAAACAATTATCAGTTACTAAATCCCGACTGGCTTGACAAGTGTTACAGCAAGACCATATAATTTTTGAAAAGAAAAAAAATTGTATGGCAAACACAAAATGCTGCATAATTACACTTCTTCTTATATTGAAAAAGAAAAAAAATATGAATTTGCTGCAGCAGTAAATAACGACAGTACAAATACAAAGACTGATAAATGATAATCGAGACTATATTATTACAATATCATTCAATTTACCTTTTGTCACATACTGGTATTGTATTACTTATTTCTATATGTTCTTGCAGTGGATTAGTATACCGTTTGCTTTCACACACAAGGCAGTTGGTGACATTACAGTGAACGCTACTGCTAACTGGGTAAAAGAATTGGACCCGGTTTATATAGGACTATATTTAGACAGCTATTTATTGCTCATATTCGGAGGAATTCCGTGGCAGGTTAGTACCTTTATTTACATAAAAAGTATATAAAACTGCATTGGTCTGTCAGATATCAGTAGAATTATTTTCAAAGTTCTTTTGATACAAATCATTCCAAAGTAAACAAATTGAAAAAAAAGATGTTATCGCAACGTTTCGGCCCTTGATAAGGATGATAAAAAATCGTCGAGGTAATCGCATTGGTTTTTCACTTTCAATAAAAAGTGAACTGCACATGCGCCAAATTATCAGCAAATAAAAATAGCAATTAAATATTTTGTAAATGTGCATTTTGCTCTGTTTTCTTTTATAAATCGTTTGCGAAACCTTTCTTTTAGAACACTCTCCAGATATAACCATTAAATATGAAGAAAGTGATTATATTGTTTTTGAAGTATAAAATGCTATATTATAGCTTTATACCCTTGAAATAAGTTTGTCACTAAGCGACATACAATTTATGAGATGTGCTTGTTTGACAAAATATTCATTCGAATTATACCGTTTTTAAATGTAAAAAAAACAACACTTTTTTAATTCCGTTTTATATTCAGTGCATTGATGTGCATTAAGCATATCGGTCTAACCATGGAGATTTACAAAAGTATTTAAGTAGCATTGTCGCTCCATTAACCGATGGTATCTTACACGAAGACCGTGCGCATGCACAGTTGTTTAAAATTGTCTTTTATTTTAAGAATTTTGAAATATATTTACAAGATAAATCAAATAATCACGATATAAAATAATAAAACATTGCAATTTCCTAATTTCCATCACGTGTGGCCATTTTTATTTTCATTTCTTCATAAATTATTATGCATTTGTATATATGATATGATATTGAGGTTCAACCTTTTTACAAAGGTGTTTTAATGCTGCCAAAAGAAAAATCGTCTTTTTTTTTAATTTCAGGTATATTTCCAACGTGTTTTGTCTGCAAGCACAGTTCGGAATGCTCGGATATTATCATATGCAGCAGGTGTAGGGTGTATAATTATGTCTATACCTTCCATTTTAATTGGAGCCATAGCAACCGTAACAGGTTAGTTTTCTTGTTTTACTTTGTCTTAATTCGCACCAACACTCTGATAGTTTACGATTTTATATTTATAGGGTGAAATTGATTATCTTTACTTGTTTCCCAATGTTGAAAAATGTAAACGTTGTATGTATACAATTTATCGAATTAAATTTAAACTAACCATTTAGATTTGTTATTTGCATATCATGTATCATCTTGCAAATTTATAAATATTTTTTAATAATTGTGTTCACTTATATAATGCAATATATAGAGCTAGAATTTTACTTTATATTGACCAATCATTGTACAAAACTGATAGCTAAGTTATTTTAATTTATCTTTTTCTATAATTGCTTAGCTTTTTTACGTGAAAATAAATACGCGTTTCATGTGCGAATTGCTTTCTGAACTTTTCTCATATGACGCATGCGCAATATATGACTTCCGTTGCTAGGCATATTTTCTAAATGTAAAAGCCTCAATACTAGCTGTCATTTTTTCTTTAAATTAGATTGGAATCAAACAGATTACGCTGGAACAGTTCCAATACCGGATGAAGATATGAATTTAATACTTCCATTAGTTCTTCAATACCTGACACCTCAAGCTGTTGCATTTGTTGGGCTCGGTTCTGTGTCTGCTGCAGTAATGTCGTCTGCGGACTCATCGGTGTTGTCTGCTAGCGCCATGTTTTCAAGAAATGTGTATAAATTGGTTTTCAGACAAAAGGTAAGAATTATTTTAATCTATCTATTTCAAGCAAAATTTTGTTTCATTTTTATTATGAAATGCACGTTTAATGAATAATTGCAAATTTACAAATAAAAAAATGCAATTACTCAGTAATTCTTTCATTCCTTAAATTAATCAAACTGAATTTCGCCCGAAAGTGCCTAAGAAAGTTTTGCTCCTTAATAATCGAGTACAATGGAATTAGTATTTAAAAGCGGTTAAATACTAGTAATAAATATTTTTGTTTGTTTGTTGTAAGATGTTTATCTATATCTGTTTTACAGATGTGTACATGTTTTGTCTAATTTTCATTTGTTATTTTCTCTTTTACAGGCCTCGGAAAGGGAAATATTGTGGGTTATGAGAATTACTATATTTGTTGTTGGTATCCTAGCAACGGTGATGGGTATCACTGTGAAGTCTATTTACACTCTATGGTTCCTGTGTTCTGACCTTGTGTTTGTTGTCTTGTTCCCACAGCTGTTTTGCGTTGTATATTTGTCTTGGACTAACACATATGGTTCTTTGATTGGATATATTCTGGGACTATTTTTCCGACTTGCCGGTGGTGAAGCGGTCCTGAACATACCTGTGCTTATAAAATATCCATATTATAATGACGCAGATGGACAGTTATTTCCCTTTAAGACTCTTTCCATGATCATCTCTTTGACGTCAGTGCTTGTTTTCTCCTTTGTAACAAATTATTTGTTTAAGAATGAAATTTTACCAAAAAAAGCAGACATATTTAAATGCATTGTAAATAGGGATGATGTAGGAAAACCCAGGAAAGAGTACAACGAACAGATTGAAATGTCACCGCCAGACGAAAATTCGGGGAAAATGAACCCAACATTTGCATATTCAAATGATGACATACAAGGAAAGGCGCATGCAAACTAATGTAGTAATGTTCTATCTACAAATATATATATATATACGAGTACAGTGTATATTGTACACAAATTATGAAACGTTCACCTAACCTATCTCATAAAACCAGAACTGATCATTGCGTTTCACGCACGCCCTCACAGCTCAAATTTGGGGTATATACTATTTTGTGTATGTCTTTTAATAAAATGTATAGTTTGAAATTAATAGTATGTTTTCAGAATTCTTGAAATCACATGGTCGGATTGAAAAATTACTGTCAAAGAACAAAACAGATCGTCAACTGCCATTTTTGAAGATGAGTTGTTACATTTAACTTCTGTACGATTTCAAACTTCTATATAAATACACAATCCATAGCACTTTTAAATATATTTGGGATTTTAGAACTTCCGGAATTCAGAAGTTACACTGTATCAAATTGAAGAAGAAAATGTTATATGAATTCAGTACAGTTTTCATTTGAGAAAAGTTCTACATGTATTGTTCAACTCGCGACGGTTTCATCATGATGCTTCTGGTAATGATGGATAAAGATTTTAGTTTAAACTATGTAAAATAAAACAAACATACTCATTTATGTAACAAAAATCTACATGTTTTTGTTTTATGTTTATGTTAGAAACATAACATTTAAGTTATGTTTGAGCACAAAACAGGCTTAATAAGATTAGTTTCAATTAGAAACATTTACTAGTATACTAGTTGTTGGTACGTACACCTTTGTTTATAACATGAGAATTAATAAAATTAAAAGAATTATGATAATAATTATAAAAAACATAAAGAAGAATGCTGACCTACTTTTGGCCAGACAGAATGGTTGCCTATTTATCGTTTTTAAGCGCCTCGGCGACGGATCGCGCATTTTTCTATTCCACAAACGACCATTTTATTTTACAAACTTCTGATGTCGACATTGCCATATAAAGAAACAATAATGACATCTCTAATTTTATGATACATTTTTTATGATACATTTTGGAACACTATTAAAACATGTGAGCAGCACCAATGTGGCGAAATATGGTGACAATGAACTGAAACGGTACTAAAATAATGTAATAATAAACTGTTAAACAATAGAAATTAAAGAAAACAACATAACAATGATCAGAAATACATATTTAAACAAATGCCGGGTAACTGGACCAACCCTCGTTGTCTGAAAAAAAAAACCATTAAAAATAAAACTGTAAATGTACTTACTTATTTTATTTTTATTTTGTGAAATTAAATTTAGTTAATTTATATGAAAATCCATAATTTAAGCATCTTAAAAAGACGAAATTATAATTCTGTCAGGTTCTTTGAATTATTTCAAGTGACAAAGCTAGTCAAGCTATTCAGTTATACCAGGATCGTTGTCTCGTTGTCTTAACTTAAAGTCCGCTGAAAAAACCTGGAAAGTCGACATATAACCATTGCAGTGTCAGGGTTATTACTAATTTTTCATTTTACAGCTTTTTGTGATATGCAGGCTTCGCAACTTATAATCCCCTTTTTAACATTTCATTTTATTTAGTTTCACCCGCTGTTTTCTCGATTATAGGGCACGCGCATTCTTTTACTCGGAACCATACGCCGTTTTTCATGGAATAATGGCGGGACGGTTGTCTTAATACATGTGTAGTGCGCATATTGATGTTTTCATGTCCCGGTGGAAATAGTTACTGGATTGTATGAAGCAGGTGAGGTGATATTGACCCTGGCCCCATCACAAAGATTTAAGGATCAAGATCAGGATCAAATTTAAAAACTCGATTCATTGTTTATCCTCGTAAGCTATATATATATTTAGCCACAGATGTGTATATAAATAGATCGGCGGAGGCCCCCCGCCATTTTAACTTGTTAATTTTTGACTTTTCGCTTGGCGGGGTTGCGGGGCGAAAACACGAATGGCACAAATCAGCCACTTCTCCGAGGTTTTTATACTTAAGGTATTAGCACCCTAATGCATTACCTCCGCTTTGAAGAGTATTCAAATAGGCTAGAACTACTGTTAACTACATTGAAAATGAAGGCCATGGGTTCAATCCCCAGAAGGGTCACCTTTTTTTTTCTTTCTTTTTTTCTTTTAACATTATTTATGTATCTCTCATGTCCCATTTGGAAAGAAAAAAGGGTTTAATTTTGATTTTTTAATTTATATAGGTATTTATTGGCTAAATTATGCTAAATCTAGTAATAAATATGGTACCTGATATTTTCAAAGTGTAATATAATCAAAACTAGACGGTAAAAGTATTTCATATTTTACAAGATCAACCAATATACTTTTTTAAAAATTTAGGGAAACTTTGAAAACAGGCACTCATTTGGGTAAATTTTAAGAATTTTTTAAATTAGGCTCCCTAAGTAGAAAAATGGTCAGACACGTGGTAAAAATGGGTGGGGTAGGGTAACATTTTTATACAGATTTCATAAATTTTAAGTAGAAACTATAATTTTGCTTATTTGGATTGTTAGCTGAATGGTACTATTTGTTTCTTACCAAAAATTAATGGGAAAACATTTTTCATTAGAATGTTATTGCAGATTATTTAAAGGTTCCTACTTTCTAAAAAAGGGCCCTCATAACATCCTAGCTTGAGTTCAGAAAAGTGGCCATAACTTGATTTCCGTATGGTAAACTTTGTTTAAATTTTGCATACAGGTGTACTTTTAGGTATACATCTGACATATGATGTCAATTTTTTAGTTCCTGATAATGCCCATTAGGGTCCTAATACCTTAACAAGAGCAGGTGTCGAGTGTTGTGTGCAAGCTGTAAAAAGGTGCCCCGTACTTCGCTTCAATATTGTTATATTTTTTTGGTCCTTCGGGATCATTGAATCCAACACTTTTGGGTGATGAAAATTGAGTACCGCTCAAGCCCGTGCTAGGGGGCATGAGGGATGTTGCACTTTTTAATTATACCTCATGTACAGACTCAATCAAACGAGTCTGTGCAATTTTCATGTTATTTTGTTGTGATTAATGCTTCCGAAGGATTATCCTTCTTCAAGATTTTTTTTCGAAATTATACATTACTTAGATACTTAGAATATACATAACAATTTTAATATTTGAGACTTCATAACAGAATATCATATTTTAAAGTAACAGGCTGTTGAATCAACAGCACAATATGTCTGGTTTCCATTTGAAACTTTTTGGCACTATAGTTTGCAAACTATTCGTCTGACAAAGTAAATACGTTATGTAATATCTCTGATACACATCATCTGACAATTGCATCCCATGTCCCATTTAATTTCAAAGATACCGATATTGAAATATTTCTAATCTTTATAGCCAGACTTAACTCTAATCATTCAATTCTAAGTATTCAGATTTAAAACTCTTTTCGAAAACCCTATAAATACTAATAAACAAATCATTATACAAAGTATGCCATGTCCATATTAAGGCTAAAAATAAAGTAAACAACGCAAATTACTTTTGATTTAATATTTTTAATCATGTTCGTCATCATTAATGTAAAATAGTTTCAAAAATTCTGTCTAAGTTCATCTATTGTCCTATGTCTGTGAAATTATCTGAAATTATTAAAAAAGAAAATAAATCGTAAGACACTTTGCCATTGTTTGTCACACATTACCTTTGACTTTATACAAATGATAAATGAATACAATACATACGTTACTTGTAAATAAGATAAGGTTTTCAGTAAGGAATATAATATTAGATAGTGAATGAGTACATACAAAAGTGTTTTATAAAGAAAAAAGTTTTGGTTTTAAGATAGTATTTAGTAGTTACCTTGAATGAATTCCACTTCTGCAATAGACAGACAGTATTCCAAATGGCGATTCATCAAATCGTCATCAATGATTACTTCAAGTTCTTCAGGTTGAACCTCAACTTGTTTACTGTCGTTCTTCTCCATTGTCTCAAAATTATCAAAGAAGACTTTTCCCGATGTATCATCATGTTTGGCTGACTTCAATTTGTGACTGTCCAAATCTTTTACGGCAGGATACTCGGTGTTCAAATGCAATGATGTGATCACCACATTATCAAAGAAGACGTTTTCCGTTGTTAAAAAAATATTTTTCAATGAAGTCGTAGTTGCCAGTGGTAGCAGCGTGCTTATGTTGTAGCAACCTTTAGGTTTGTGTTCATCTGTAAAGTTTGCTGGAGATTGAGATACATATGGCATTACAGCTTCTCTTCCAAAATAGAATATAGGAGTAAAATATAAACCAAATATAGACAGTGTTCTTGTGCACGGAACTCTATTGTAACGCAAGGCAAGACTGAATATTCTTTTAAAGTCAGTAACCTTTGGTTTTTGAATGTCTAGGGTTATTGGTTCATTCTTTTTCTCTATTTGTAGTTGTTTATTACAAATCAAATCATCAGCGATAATGGACCTTTGTGCAGTTTCATGACACTTATTAACAGGAAGATGCTCACATTTATCATTGTGATTGCCAACTTTATATTTTGAATTGCTTATGAGAATAGACAGTTCTGCCGGTTTGAATTTCACTTCATAGAACTCCCTGTACATTTGCTTTCTGTTTAAACCAATAAATGAAGAGGGCGCAAGTAAAGATGGTAGCAAACAGCCATTGATCAACTTCTTTTGTTTCAAAGAAAAGAAATAAGCATTGCTCGTATGTCTCTTTTGGAATAAACTTGGCATGGGCTTCATGTCGTCTGCTTTTGTTTGTGTTACCAATTTCTTGACTGTTGGCTCACCAAAGAAGTGAGGCGTTTTTAAGGAAGAGGCTTCGCTGCAATGGATGTCTTTTGAATCGGGCAAAATAACATTATTTTGCATATGTGAAATTAAATTTTCACATTCTTTGTGTTGCGCTTGTTGACCATCATTACCATCATCATCATCAGCATCATCGTCATCATTATCATCAAGACTTTCTTCATGAACTGGACTGGTTTGAGCTGGTGTGTCCACTGACATTTGTTTAGTGCTTGTTATTTTGTCTGGTTTCACAGCATTTCCAGGTAACTCTCTGTTAGATTCTGTGTATTTGACTTTTGGGTTTTCTAGATGACGAAGGAAAGCGTCAACGCTATTACAAAAAACTTTATAGGAACTGCTAACCTTGGGGGCTTGTCTTCTAGCAAACTTTTCTTCCTGAAACTGCTTTTTTAAATTCTCAATGATGTTGTCCATCCGACTTTCTATCGCAGATTTATCTGGCATCTCTGATCGACTCCATTCAATATTCGCCTCGTCTTCTTCTTTTCTCTTGATCCTTCTCCGTTCAAGAACGCTAGTAAATCTTTTGGGTGACTCTGATTCTAACTTTATTTCTGTGTCCATGTTTAAAGTATCTATTAAAATATAATGAAACAATACCTGTATGTTGGAATCACTTCTAATATTTAAATAATATAAATGTTGAAATACAAAACATATTGTTAGCTATTATAACAGCGAAATATAACATTAACATCTTTATCACCCTTGCAATCTTTAAATTATTATAATGTATGCTACACATCAATTAATGAATGAATAAATGAATGAGTGAATGCGTGAATGAATGAGTGAATGAGTGAGAGAATGAGTGAGTGCGTGCGTGGGTGTTTGGGTTCGTTCGTTCGTTAATACTTTTCATTCATTCATTAATTAATTAATTCATTCATTCATTCATTCAAATAATTATAAATAAATATCAAATTGTATAATAAAATGAAAATTTTAAGTTAAATGTCAAGTAAAAGATGACAATATTTTCAAAAAGCATAGATATCGTGTGAGTGTAGCAACGCTATATGTCGCAACGCCGCTATATGTCGCAACTAACGCTAAATGTCGCAACGCTGACGCTATATGTCGCAATCAACGCTATATGTCGCAATCGCCTACCGCTAAATGTCGCAACGTTGCCGCTATATGTCGCACAAAAATTGATTGCCGCTAAATGTCGCAACCCCTTGACGCTAAATGTCGCACTTGGAAGGAAAGTAACAGATGGAACTGACACAACAAGTAAGTGTTAAAACATTTAAAGTTTATACCATTTACACATGAAAACATATCCTAGTAACCAAACAAAAGTTGTATTTCGCGGTCTATGGCAAAAACCTTGTATGGCCATAGAAATTGTTTTTGATTAAAGGGATGGATTTGGTTCTCAACCACGGACCAGGTGTGAGATCAAACTTTCTCTTTGATGATGTCTTTCTCACAAAATGCATCAACAAAAACATTTGGATATACATGTATATTTGTTAATATATTATTTGACATAACTGAGCAAACCGCTTGTTAATGCTAAGGGGGAACTATATCTGTTCATAATCTGACTAGATAGGCTTTACTACATGTAAGTATTAAATAATACCCAATTGATCTGTTGATCGATATTCGTAACTATGCGGTGTATTGATTTAGATTTATGACAGAATTGTTATACTTTCATAACTTTTTATATTTATCTCAATGTTTCTTTGGGAACATTAATGAATCAATATACTATAGAGTTGCCAAATGTTGACTGCCTACTGCTTACTGTCAACTAAAATAAAAATGGACGACCTATTACAACTGTATTGGTCAAAATATCATTCAGTTGCCGAAATAGTTGCCGTTCTGGAGGTCATGAACAATATAGTGCAGTGGTATATAGGCCACTTCCAACAGCCTTGCTGTTGGGTAAACCCTTTAGCGATGTGGTTGAGGTGTCCGCCTACGGACCAAGAGGTCTGTTGTTCAAACCCGGTTGGACCCTTGGCATTTTTCTGCCTCCTAATTTACTTAAATGGTGTCAGAAGTGTTTGACGGACTCATGCGGTAAGCAGGGAGTGACATTCAGGAGAGCTGGCTAGCTCTGAAAAGTAAAGAGGGGAGGAGTGTAGTGGTTGTAGGTATATAGGCCACTTCCATCAGCCTTGCTGTTAGATTAACCCTTTAACGACGTGGTTGAGGTGTCCGTCTACGGACCAAGAGGTCTGTGGTTCAAAACCCGGTTGGACCCTTGGTATTTTTCTGCCTCCTAATTTACTTTAATAGTTTACAGGTACATATATATTCTTAGAACAACATGTAAAGGAATTCACTGATAAATTAATAAATGCATGGACTATAACATGGAATTCCATAAACGACAGCCAACTGTTGACTGCTTACTTTCTACTTCTGACTAACTTCTGCCTACTGTTAACTGCCTACTGCTTACTGTCAACTGCTTACTGTCAATTGCATACTGTCAACTGCCACTAGAAAACAACAACAACAACAATTAGATAAATAAATAAATACAAAAATGAATAAAAATAAATAAATAGAGGTATTCTTTTATCCGTTTACACATAGAGGTTATAGGCTGACCTATGAAAAAAATAGAGAAACTAAAAATCAAGCCAAAAAGAAATTGTTTTATCATATACTTATAAATGAAATATTGAGAAATACTGATGAAATAAAATGCGTATTTTCAATTTTAGTATTTTCACTGTAAAAAGCTATTTTTCACTGTAGTGAAATATATTTTCCGTATTTTCACTGCTGTCTTGACGGACTACTTTCTTCTAAATTCAGACAATACACATAAATTAAGGAGAATTCTTTCAAATTGTAATGTCAAAAAAAGAAGAGAAATCTATATGATAAACAGACAATTCAAGTTTTTTTTCTATAAATACAGGATTTATTATCACCTTGTGGTATGGAAATTATCATATTTCATTCATGGCTACCGCCACTCATAAAATAATTATTGTCTTGCCACTAGATGAAAATAAATCCTGTATTTATAGAAAACACTTGAATATCCTCCATGAATTTTGTCATAATATGTTCAAAAGCAACCAGACATAAAATCGTATGTATTAGATATCTAGATGTATATTAATAATGATAATTCAATAAGCATGAACCGAATGTTCATTTTTTCTTGTGTGCGACAAATTAAGAATAATTCAAATATCGATTGAATTATACATCCATTTTGTCGTTAGATAAATCATCAAAGGGTGATAATAAGACAACAACTTAATACATGTAAATGTGAACATAATATTACCATTCACAAACGCATTTGTTTTCTGATGAAACGTGACTTAAACAAAACCTGTTTCGATGAAAGCGATGCTACGCAAACTTAGAGCTGAAAACGAGGCGACAGTAAGAAAACGTCACAAACGCATCTAATGAGGCTAAAGAAAAAAACGTCCCAGACGCAACCGTGTAACAACGAAAACGAGGCAACAATAAGAAAACGCCACAAACGTAACCATGTCAGTTTTAAAACGAGGCTACAATATCAAAACGCAAAAATGTGAGCCTGTTTCAATTACAATACAAGAAAAGCATTGATGCAAAGCATCAAAGGGCGTCGAAGCAAGAAATGCAGCAAGTGAAGATGAACTAGTACACATATGATGACAAGATATTCTTATAAACTACCAGAAATGTATATCACTTATGAATGAGCGGACGAAAGACATTGTTCATTATGAACTTTGATTGGCATGCTAGAGATTAGAATATTACTTGTTATTTCTTTATGATCGTGGTTATTAATAGCAACGGATATACATGTATGCAATCATTTATAATCCATATGTGTGACGCATGATCAACACGTACCACACCTTTGTAATTGTCCCTTATTATGTTATCGCTATCAGCGAAGACCCCCTCTTAAGGTATCTGTTCACACTCTAACTTAGTAAAAATATGACAGTGGTTATATTACCATGTTGATCATGTTGAGCATAACTGTTTATTATACAATAATTGTAATATCTATTTATTTTAATTAAAAAAATTACAAATTTTATGAATATTGTTTTCTTTTCTTTTTTGTGTTTTATGTGCTATTTTAATACTGAGTTTTTACTACTCTTTTTTTATTAAAATTGTAAAATAAATTTTAAGAATTCAATTGTCATATTGACCGACGATTATAAGTCAAAGCTTAACTGGAAAAAGTCAGTAAATTATGGGTTATCTTTCAATATATAATAATATTGTTTATTCTTAAACCATGTACATGTACATTTGTATTTTTCTTTATCATTTTTTAAATTATCAATCAATTGAATAATTCATAAAATCTAATTTGTAACTATGAATAATTCCTCGGCATCTTTACTAAACACGAATAATAAATTAAATAAAATGTTTCAAAGTTGATAATGTAATTTTAATACCATAAAAACAATTATGTACAATTATTGTACATATCACGGATTTATATTACATATAAATCCGTGTACATATTTATTGTTTTTATCTCATATAGATAAAATGAAACATGCTATTGTTGTTTTTTTCTTCTAATTGTAACGATATCAAACATCTACTCCAAAACCGGGAGAGACCGGACAATAAACGTGTGGTACTATTCGCCGGTCACTAGTAAATCCTGGTCAAAATAGACCGGGAGAGACCTGTAATTACCGATAGGAGTGATAAATAGATATATCTATAAATAGATTTTTGGAATATTTAGGTCATCAACTGATCATTCTAGGATACATGTACAACAATAACATACCATGATAACCCACTGTGTACTACAAAATGATAAATAAAAAACCCCGAAGTACGCGATTTACTGACGGAAAAGGTTATTTCATTTGAAAATGTTTGCATTGCGAAATTCTCCAGTTCGCTATTCATTGTAACATATCGCGACATTTCATTCTTAATTAATAATCAAGCACCCTCATACCGATCGGAATGATCGGCTTTTATTATGACCGACTAAAAGGCTCGAGAAGTTGCTGTCGCCCTTTCACAAAATCTGATTTCATTCCATAAGGGCGCCGCGCTTCGGCGCGGACGCCAAAAAACGAGGCTACAATAAGAAAACGTCACAAACGTATATAACGTATTATGTAACATTGAAAATGAAACTAAGGGAAGAAGATGTTACAAACGTAACTATGTTACGATAATAACAAGAAAACAACAAGAAAACTTCACAAACGGCATGTTACAATGCAAACGAGACTACAATGACAAAACGTAACAAATGTACTAGAATCTATTAGACTTTAACAAAACGCGTATATAACAAACATATCTATGTAACGATGAAAACGAAACTTATAAGAAAAATATAATCTATTCCATTCGCTTTAGTATAGTTGGCTCAAAAAGTAGTCCCAAAACCGCACTGACATACTCGTATGTTAACATTTTAGAAATGAATAGTTTTGCGATTTATGTCGCCAGAATAAGGCCACTGCCTCCAAACTGACAGAGGTCCAAACAGGAATGTTTCTACCACATATTAAAATTATATTAAAATCACTTTCAAGTTTTTTGTTTGCATCTGCGTGATGACATCATCTGCATACTTGGACATGACAAAAGTTCTAATAAAAATGATGATAAAATTTATCATATCTTTACAACGTGCTTCTATTTGTGCATTTTATCTATGGTCTTATATTTAAAGTCAAAGTGTTAAAAAATTTGTTACGTTTTGACAAGATTCTTGTCATTCAGCATATTGCAGATGTGATATATGTGAGGAACGAACAACTCTACTTCCGAAATAATTTAGAAACATCAAAAATGAAACCATGGTGAAGTTAAAATGAGACTTAGATACATTAGTTAACAAATGTATCAGTGTTACGAGGAGAAAGAGGATAAAACATATAAGGGAGAATATGAGACAATAATTTAATGTCATAAACGTGTTCGTGTTCATGTAAAATCAGGAAATAGAGTAACCATTCACAAACGTGTCCTTGTTTCGATAAAACGGAATATACATGTAATTAGAAAATGTCACAAACGTAAGCCATATTGCAATACAAACGAGGCACGTAAAGAAACGTGACAAACGCAACTATGAAAACGAGGCTACAGTAAAGAAACGTCACAAAAGAATCCATGTAATAGTGAAAACGTGCTTTACAGGGAGAGAACGTCATAAACGTTACCATGTTACGATGAGAACGAGGCTACAGAAGGTAAACATCACAAAACGTAACCATAACGAGGCTACAGTAAAGAAAACGTCACAAACGTAACATGTAACAATGAAAACTAGGCTACAGTAAAGAAAACGTCACAAACGTAAACCATGTAACAATGAAAACGAGGCTACAGTAAAGAAACGTCACAAACGTAACCATGTAACAATGAAAACGAGGCTACAATAAAAGAAACGTCACAAACGTAACCATGTAACAATGAAAACGAGGCTACAGTAAAGAAATGTCATAAAACGTAACCATGTAACAATGGAAACGAGGCTACAGTAACAAACGTCACAAACCTAACCATGTTACAATGAAAAAGAGGCTACAGTAAGGAAACGTCACAAACGTATCCGCGTTACAGTGAAACGAGCAACAGTAAGAGGAAACGTCACAAACGTATCCGCGTTACAGGGAAAACGAGGCTACAGCAAGGAAACCGTCACAAAACGTATCCGCCGTTACAGTGAAAACGAAGCAACAGTAAGGAAACGTCACAAAAACGTATCCGCGTTACAGTGAAAACGAGGCTACAGTAAGGAAACGTCACAAACGTATCCGCGTTACAGTGAAAACAAGGCAACAGTAAGGAAACGTCACAAACATATCCGCGTTACAGTGTAAACAAGGCAACAGTAAGGAAACGTTACAAACGTATTCGCGTTACAGTTAAACGCAGGAAAAGACTATAGTAACCCTATTATAATGAAAACGAGGCTACAATAAGGAAATGTGACACTGAAAACCAGGCTGCAATTAGGAAAACTTTACAAAAGTAATTCATGTAATGGTAAAACAAGGCAAATGTATCATTATAAAAATGAAAATGATACTTCATTATGAAAACACCACAAACGAAACCATGTTGAAGTAAAAATGAAGCTACAATATCAAACTATTACAAAAGTATCCATGTAACGGAGAAAAAACGAGGCTTAAACAAAGCGCAGTATAATATGAGAAATTGGACACAGTACTTTGGATAACAAAATATTGTTGTATCCCCTGTCATATAACGGAGAGAGAACACACTGATGTTTCACATTTTATTACTCAATACATAAGTATATATCTGCTCTGGACAAATACCAAATTCGAATTACCTAGAGTGGGCTATTCGACCACTATCTATAATGACAGCTATTTACATAAAATGTTAAGATATAATCCCCCCCCCCCTTAGCATTAACAGGCGGTTTGCTCAGTTATGTCAAATAATAAAACAAATATACATGTACATGTATATCCAAATGTTTTTGTTGATGCATTTTGTGAGAAAGACATCCTCAAAGAGAAAGTTTGATCTCACACCTGGTCCGTGGTTGAGAACCAAATCCATCCCTTTAATCAAAAACTGTTTCTATGGCCATACAAGGTTTTTGCCATAGACCGCGAAATACAACTTTTGTTTGGTTACTAGGATATGTTTTCATGTGTAAATGGTATAAACTTTAAATGTTTTAACACTTACTTGTTGTGTCAGTTCCATCTGTTACTTTCCTTCCAAGTGCGACATTTAGCGTCAAGGGGTTGCGACATTTAGCGGCGATCAATTTTTGTGCGACATATAGCGGCAACGTTGCGACATTTAGCGGTAGGCGATTGCGACATATAGCGTTGATTGCGACATATAGCGTCAGCGTTGCGACATTTAGCGTTAGTTGCGACATATAGCGGCGTTGCGACATATAGCGTTGCTACAGTGAGTAAAAAATATCGCGATAGTTTAGTTAAAGCAGCACGCCTCCAGATTCATCCTAATGTTCATGAAAATTTTGAAAATGTATTTAAAGGTAAAACATTGTGAAATGAACAAAGAATGTACTTGGCACTTAAAATCCACGTAAATTACCAAAAAGAGGTCAAAATATGCATAAATAGCCCCTACTGCGTTAGTAACGCAGTAGAAATACGGTGATAAATACTACAAAATACAGTCATTAATTGCACATAAGATATAAATTATCACTTGAATCTTTCATTTGTTTACTTTTCTCAAAGTTTTTTTCTTGAAATATTTTGGGTCATCTTGCAGCTTTAAAGAAATTGCACAAGAAGTTTATCTAATTTAAAAGAAAAATTCTGGAATTATCGCAAAATAATGATAATATTCATGCACATTTAGATATTACTACCATAATTAGGAGACTCTCTTGTCAGGAAATATAAGTAAATAATACTAGTGATAAGCCGTAGTAATACTATTTTTTTCTGTCAATTCTACATTTGTCATTTAACTTACATAAACATGAATATGAAACGAAACACCATCAATTAGGACTAGCATTAAATAATTTTTACCTTTATTCACTTAAAATGATGATTTATCTATCTTTTTTCGCTGTATAACTTAGATAGCTTTCCCGTCTTTAATTTTGTTTCTTATTCGGGTAAGTTAATTTTCCCCTTTCAAAATTTACCCCCAATGTCCGCTTGATAAAAAAAATTAAACATCCATTTTTATACAGAATGGGGGTTTTTAATTTTTTTTAATAAATTTTCAACCCGAAATTTTATTACCCTTTCTTGATATCATATAAGCGGCTTTCACTGTTGTTTAAATTTTGTTCCACTTTATTGAAGTGAAGTATTTGCACAAATTTCCCCTAATTGAACGACAAGGACAATATATCATGCAGTTTTGTAACCATGGATTGACCAGAAAGCCCTGTGGCCCTGGAAATCCTGAGAACTTTTTTAAAAGCACAAATCTTCCTGTTATAAGTAATTATACATTAGATGAAACTGCATAATTTTAAAAAATTTTGAAAAATTTCATTTCAAAAGCTACATGACATATGTAATTTGACACAAAAAACTAAATATTTTGCACAAGAAGACTTCAAGGTGGTGATTTAGTAGACAACCACAAGGTGATGCTACATGCCAAAATCTAAGGTCTGTGCATTTCGGTGGAGACGATTTTTAAAGATTTTGTTTTTAATGTCTATTTGACCAACTAAATGCATGCATCAGGCTGGAGCAATTTATATAATTTTGTAGATGGCCATGTTTTCAAGAAATGTGTATAAGTTGGTTTTCAGACAAAAGGTAAAAATTATTTTAATCTATCTATTTCAAGTTAAATTTTGTTTTTATTTTCATTATGAAATGCACGTTTAATGAATAATTGCAAATTTACAAATAAAAAAATGTAATTACTCAGTAATTCTTACATTCCTTAAATTAATCAAACTGAAAATTTTTGCTCCTTAATAAGCGAGTACAATGGAATAAGTATTTAAAAGCGGTTAAATACTAGTAATAAATATTTTTGTTTGTTTGTTGTAATATATTTATCTATATCTGTTTTACAGATGTGTACATGCATGTTTTGTCTAATTTTCATTTGTTATTTTCCCTTTTACAGGCCTCGGAAAGGGAAATATTGTGGGTTATGAGAATTACTATATTTGTTGTTGGTATCCTAGCAACGGTGATGGGGATCACTGTGAAGTCTATTTACACTCTATGGTTCCTGTGTTCTGACCTTGTGTTTGTTGTCTTGTTCCCACAACTGTTTTGCGCTGTATATTTGTCTTGGACTAACACATATGGTTCTTTGATTGGATATATTCTGGGACTATTTTTCCGACTTGCCGGTGGTGAAGCGGTCCTGAACATACCTGTGCTTATAAAATATCCATATTATAATGACGCAGATGGACAGTTATTTCCCTTTAAGACTCTTTCCATGATCATTTCTTTGACTTCAGTGCTTGTTTTCTCCTTTGTAACAAATTATTTGTTTAAGAATGAAATTTTACCAAAAAAAGCAGACATATTTAAATGCATTGTAAATAGGGATGATGTAGGAAAACCAAGGAAAGAGTTCAACGAACCGATTGAAATGTCGCCGCCAGACGAAAATTCGGGGAAAATGAACCCAACATTTGCATATTCAAATGATGACATACAAGGAAAGGCGCATGCAAACTAATGTAGTAATGTTCTATCTACAAATATATATATACGAGTACAGTGTTTATTGTACAAAAATTATGAAACGTTCAGTATAAATAAGTACCTAACCTATCTCATAAAACCAGAACTGATCATTGCGTTTCACGCACGCCCCTCACAGCTCAAATTTGGGGTATATACTATTTTGTGTATGTCTTTTAATAAAATTTATAGTTTGAAATTAATAGTATGTTTTCAGAATTATTGAAATCACATGGTCGGATTGAAAAATTACTGTCAAAGAACAAAACAGATCGTCAACTGCCATTTTTGAAGATGAGTTGTTGCATTTAACTTCTGTACGATTTCAAACTTCTATATAAATACATAATCCATAGCACTTTTAAATATATTTCGGATTTTAGAAGTTCCGGAATTCAGAAGTTACACTGTATCAAATTGAAGAAGAAAATGAGCCGCGCCATGACAAAACCAACATAATGGGTTTTCGACCAGCAAGGATCCAGACCAGCCTGCTTCTGAACAGGATCAATATGCTGTTCGCTATCAGTTTCTCTACTTGTTATAGGGTCTGTAAGCCTGATCAGACTGCGTGGATGCGCAGGCTGGTCTGGATCCATGCTGGTCGCAAACGCAGTACGTTGGTTTTGTCATGGTGCGGCTCAAATGTTATCCATGTATTCAGGACAGTTTTCATTTGAGAAAAGTTCTACTCGTGACCGTTTCATCATGATGCTTCTGGTATAATGATGAATATAGATTCTAGTTTAATATATGAAAAATAAAACATACATACTCATATATGTAACAAAAATCTACATGTTTTTTTATGTTTATGTTAGAAACATAACATTAAAGTTATGTTTGAGCACAAAACAGGGTTAATAAGATTAGTTTCAATTAGAAACATTTATACTGTTGGTACGTACACCTTTGTTTATAACATGAGAATTAATAAAATTAAAATAATAATAATAATAATAATAATAATAAACATAAAGAAGAATGCTGACCTACTTCTGGAACATTTTTACATGTGGCCAGACAGAATGGTTGCCTATTTATCGTTTTCTAAGCCCCTCGTCGACGGATCGCCCCTTTTTCTATTCCACAAACGACCATTTTATTTTACAAACTTCTGATGTCGACATTGCCATATAAAGAAACATTGACATCTCTAATTTTATGATACATTTTGGCGCACTATTAAAACATGTGAGCAGCACCAATGTGGCGAAATACGGTGACAATGAACTGAAACGGTACTAAAATAATGTAATAATAAACTGTAAAACAATAGAAATTAAAGACAACAACATAACAATTATCAGAAATACACATTTAAACAAATGCCGGGTAACTGGACCAACCCTCGTTGTCTGAAAAAAAACCATTAAAAATAAAACTGTAAATGTACTTACTTATTTTATTTGTATTTTGTGAAATTAAATTTAGTTTATTTATATGAAAATCCATAATTTAAGCATTTTAAAAGGACGAAATTATAATTCCGCCAAGTTCTTAGAATTATTTCAAGTGACAAAGCTAGTCATGCTATTCAGTTATACCAGGATCGGTATCTTAACTTAAAGCCCGCTGCACCAGTAAACCTGAAAAATCGACATATAACCATTGCAGTGTCGGGGTTATAACTTATTTTTCAATTTACAGCATTTTGTGATATGCAGGCTTCGCAATTTATAATCCCCTTTTTAAAATTTTATTTAACTTAGTTTCACCCGCTGTTTTCTCGTTTACGCGCATTCTTTTACTTGGAACCATACGCCACTTTTCATGGAATGATGGCGGGACGTGTACCAATCCCTGTTGTTTTAATACATGTGTAGTGCGCATATTGATGTTTTCATGTCCCGGTGGAAATAGTAACTGGATTCTATGCAGCAGGTGAGGTGATTTTGACCCTGGCCCCATCACAAAGGATCAGGATCAAATTTAAAAACTCGAGTCATTGTTTATCCTCGTAAGCTATATATATATATTAAGCCACAGATATGTATATAAATAGATCGGCGGAGGCCCCCGCCAAATTAACTTGTTAATTTTTTACTTTTCGCTTGGCGGGTTTGCGGGGCGAAAACACGAATGGCACAAATCAGCCACCATACTTCTCCGAGATTTTTATACTTAACAAGAGCAGGTGTCGAGTGCTGTGTGCAAGCTGTAAAAAGGAGCCCCGTACTTCGCTTCAGTGTTGTTATATTTTTTTGGTCCTTCGGGATCATTGAATCCAACACTTTTGGGTGATGAAAATTGAGTACCGCTCAAGCCGGTGCTAGGGGGCATGAGGGATGTTGCACTTTTTAATTATACCTCATGTACAGACTCAATCAAACCGAGTCTGTGCAATTTTCATGTTATTTTGTTGTCATTAATGCTTCCGAAGGATTATCCGTCTTCAAAATTTATTTCGAAGTTATACATAACTTAGCTACTTAGATTATAGATAATAATTTTAATATTTGAGATTTCATAACAGAATATCATATTTTAAAGTAACAGGCTGTTGTATCAACAGCACAATATGTCTGGTTTCCATTTGAAACTTTTTGGCACTATAGTTTGCAAACTATTCGTCTGACAAGGTAAATACGCCATGTACTATATCTCTGATACACATCATCTGACAATTGCATCCCATGTCTCCTTTAATTTCAAAGATACTGATATTGAAATATTTCTAATCTTTGTAGCCAGACTTAACTCTAATCATTCAATTCTAGTATTCAGATTTAAAACTCTTTTCGAAAATCCTATCAATACAAATCAACAAATCATTATACAAAGCATGCCATGTCCATCATATATAAAGGCTAAAAATAAAGTAAACAACACAAATTACTTTTGATTTAATATTTTTAATCATGTTCGTCATCATTGATGTAAAATAGTTTCAAAAATTCTTCTGTCTAAATTCATCTATTGTCCTATGTCTGTGAAATTATCTGAAATTATTAAAAAAGAAAATAAATCGTAAGACACTTTTCCATTGTTTGTCACACATTACCTCTGACTTTATGCAAATGATAAATGAGTTCAATATACATACGTTACTTAAATAAGATAAGGTTTTCAGTAAGGAACATAATATTAGATAGTAAATGAGTACATACAAAAGTGTTTTATAAAGAAAAAAGTTTTAATTTTAAGATAGTATTTAGTAGTTACCTTGAATGAATTCCACTTCTGCAATAGACAGACAGTATTCCAAATGGCGATTCATCGTCATCGTCATCAATGATTACTTCAAGTTCTTCAGGTTGAACCCCAACTTGTTGACTGTCGTTCTTCTCTATTGTCTCAAAATTATCAAAGAAGACTTTTCCCGATGTATCATCATGTTTAGCTGACTTCAATTTGTGACTGTCCAAATCTTTTACGGCAGGATACTCGGTGTTCAAATGCAAAGATGTGATCGCCACATTATCAAAGAAGACGTTTTCCGTTGTTAAAAATTTATTTTTCAATGAAGTCGTAGTTGCAAGTGGTAGCAGCGTGCTTATGTTGTAGCAACCTTTAGGTTTGTGTTCATCTGTAAAGTTTGCTGGAGATTGAGATACATATGGCATAACAGCCTCTCTTCCAAAATAGAATATAGGAGTAAAATATAAACCAAATATAGACAGTGTTCTTGTGCACGGAACTCTATTGTAACGCAAGGCAAGACTGAATATTCTTTTAAAGTCAGTAACCTTTGGTTTTTGAATGTCTATGGTTATTGGTTCATTCTTTTTCTGTATTTGTAGTTGTTGATTACAAATCAAATCATCAGTGATAATGGACCTTTGTGCAGTTTCATGTCACTTATCAACAGGAAGATGCTCACATTTATCATTGTGATTGCCAACTTTATATTTTGAATTGCTTATGAGAATAGACAGTTCTGCCGGTTTGAATTTCGTGAACTCCCTGTACATTTGCTTTCTGTTTAAACCAATAAATGAAGAGGGTGCAAGTAAGGATGGTAGCAAACAGCCATTGATCAACTTCTTTTGTTTCAAAGAAAAGAAATAGGCATTGCTCGTATGTCTCTTTTGGAATAAACTTGGCATGGGCTTTATGTCGTCTGCTATTGTTTGTGTTACCAGTTTCTTGACTGTTGGTTCACCAAAGAAGTGAGGCGTTGTTAAGGAAGAGGCTTCGCTGCAATGGATGGCTTTTGAATCGAGCAAAATAACATTATTTTGCATATGTGAAATTTAATTTTCACATTCTTTGTGTTGCGCTTGTTGACCATCATTATCAGCATCATCATCATCATCAACATCATTATCATCAAGACTTTCTTCATGAACTGGACTGGTTTGAGCCGGTGTGTCCACTGACTTTTGTTTAGTGCTTGTTATTTTGTCTGGTTTCACAGCATTTCCAGGTAATTCTCTGTTAGATTCTGTGTATTTGACTTTTGGGTTCTCTTGATGACGAAGGAAAGCGTCAACGCTATTACAAAAAACTTTATAGAAACTGCTGACATTGGGGGCTTGTCTTCTAGCAAACTTTTCTTCCTTAAACTGCTTTTTTAAATTCTCAATGATGTTGTCCATCCGACTTTCTATCGCAGATTTATCTGGCATCTCTGATCGACTCCATTCAATATTCGCCTCATCTTCTTCTTTTCTCTTGATCCTTCTCCGTTCAAGAATGCTAGTAAATCTTTTCGATGACTCTGATTCTATCTTTATGTCTGTGTCCATGTTTGAAGTATCTATTAAAATATAATGAAACAATACCTGTATGTTGGAATCACTTCTAATATTTAAATAATATAAATGTTGAAATACAAAACATATTGTTAGCTATTATAACAGCGAAATATAACCTTAACATCTTTATCACCCTTGCAATCTTTAAATTATTATAATGTATGCTACACATCAGTTAATGAATGAATAAATGAATGAGTGAATGCGTGAATGAATAAGTGAGTGAGTGAATGAGTGAGTGCGTGGGTGTTTGGCTTCGTTCGTTCGTTAATACTTTTCATTTATTCACTTCCTTCATTCCTTCATTCATTCATTCATTCATTCAAATAATTATAAATAAATATCAAATTGTATAATAAAATGAAAATTTTAAGTTAAATGTCAAGTAAAAGATGACATTGTTTTCAAAAAGCATAAATATCGTGTGAGTAAAAAATATCGCGATAGTTTAGTTAAAGCAGCACGCCTCCAGATTCATCCTAATGTTCATGAAAATTTTGAAAATGTATTTAAAGGTAAAACATTGTGAAATGAACAAAGAATGTACTTGACACATTACAGTCGGCACTTAAAATCCACGTAAATTACCAAAAAGAGGTCAAAATATGCATAAATAGCCCCTACTGCGTTAGTAACGCAGTAGAAATATGGTGATAAATACTACAAAATACAGTCATTAATTGCACATAAGATATAAATTATCACTTGAATCTTTAATTTGTTTACTTTTCTCAAAGTTTTAGTATGTTTTTTTTCTTGAAATATTTTGGGTCATCTGGAGGTATGCAGCTTTAAAGAAATTGCACAAGAAGTTTATCTAATTTAAAAGAAAAATTCTGGAATTATCGCAAAATAATGATAATATTCATGCACATTTAGATATTACTACCATAATTGGGAGACTCTCTTGTCAGGAAATATAAGTAAATAATACTAGTGATAAGCCGTAGTAATAATATTTTTTTCTGTCAATTCGTAATGATAATGTTTTTTTCTGTCAATTCTACATTTGTCATTTAACTTACAAAAAAAACATGAATATGAAACGAAACACCATCAATTAGGACTAACATTAAATAATTTTTACCTTTATTCACTTAAAATGATGATTTATCTCTCTTTTTTCGCTGTATAACTTAGATAGCTTTCCCGTCTTTAATGTTGCTTCTTATGTCTATAGCGATAACGTTAATTTTGACGTCATAATCTGTGACGTCGCTAACGTCAGGCCGCTTAAGACATTGAGAAAAATAAAATCAAACATCCATGTTTTATACAGAATGCGCGTATTTAACGTCTTCGTGTTTTCAATTGAAAGTTGCAACCCGTAATAAGTTGATTACCACTGTTGATATCATATAAGCTGCATCCACTGTATAGTCATTAATGCTTCACTATCTATTGAAGTGAAGTATTTGCTACAAGATTTCCCCTAATTGAACGTACAAGGACAATATAGTCAGTGCAGTATTTGTAACGCATGGTATTGACAAGAATGACATGATGGCCCTGGATAACTCACCTGAGATACATTGTTTAAAAGGTCACAAATCTTCCATGCATAAGTAAGTAATTAGGTCACATTAGATGAAACCTGCATAATTTCTAAAAATATTTTGAAAATGTCCTTTCAAAAATGCTACATGACGATTATGTAAGTTTGACACAAGAGAACTAAGATATTTTGCACAAGAAGACTGCAAGGTGGTGATTTAGTAGACAACCACAAGGTGATGCTACATGCCAACATCTAAGGTCTGTGCATTGTATTTTCTGTGGAGACGATTTTTAAAGATTTTGTTTTGAATGTCTTATTTGACCAACTAAATGCATGCATCAGGCTGGAGCAATTTATATAATTTTGTAGATGGCCACCTAAGGACTATCCATGTGAAGTTTGGTCAAAATCCAACTTGTGGTTTAGTTTATGGTGTTTAAAGAAATTGTGGACAACAACAAACCTATGCCTTTGCAATGTGCTTAATCTAAGGAACAATGACCCACAGCATTGAGGCGTGAACCTGCTCGTGACGACATTAAGCAGATCGACCTCTATAAGATTTTTCACAATGCCGGCAAATAAACATATCAGAACTCCCTGATTTTTGTAAAGATGATGAAATATTTATTATGGTGTGGTGAAGTATTAAACGATAATTAATGTAAGAGCAATATTAAAATTTCAAATATGCCACATATATTCCATATATATACGTTAATATGCAATAAAGATCTGACTTTATTTCCAAAATAATTGACCCCTTAACCCCCCCCCCCCCCCCCCCGGTGGATCCGGGCCTGAATCAATGGAACTTCACACCCTGAACCTACAAAGGGGCCTACGCCGCCCCCTTGATCCCTGCGTATAATTTATATGTCCCAGCTATGCCCTGACAGCTTGGGCTTCATATGACGGGTACTCGCTTCTACAACTACATTACTTTGCGGAGATGGTTTTTGGGGACCGACTGCCTGAGAATCATTTTGACTTGGTGTTGTTGTATGATTGTTGTACCTATTGTCAGATGTCGTGTTAGAATAGAAATAATATATCCAAATCGCTGATTTTACTGCTTGATAAATAGAGAATAACAGGTTACTGTCTTTTGAGAAAGGGTTTCTCAGACGAGGTTAGATATGGTCCTGGAAGGGGCGAGGCTTGCTGTTATTCTTTTTATCATGCCTCTATTATGACTTTGCATCTTATTTTTTTAATTCGGGGCGCTAAATTTCTGAAAGTACGGTAACCACAAGAGGGTTTTTCGCCAAAAAAGTAGTCCGAGGGTTTTTACCAATAATTTTATAACACAACACAATTTTTGGTACAATCTGTTTTAACAATTTATTTACTGTGTATTATCATAAATATTCAGCAAAGTCAATTAAACAATACCAACAATAAACATCATCAATGCTGATCTGGCGTAGGAACATAGTGTTCTCAAGTCACTGACTGAGAAAGGTTGATGTTCTCAGACAGGCTTTATCAGGCAGTTGTCATAGTAATGGCATGATAAAATCACTGTTTGTCGTTCGGATGCGCATCATTATATCACTCGGGCTACGCCCTCGTGATATACTTCCCCGCATCCGAACTCCAAACAGTGATGTTATTGAGCAATAAAATCACAGTTTGGGATATATTATTTCTTAATTAAAAAAAACAACGTGATTGTCCAAGGCATTTGTTAATTTGCAGATAAATCAGCATTTTTATATAATATTTTACACGCCTTTTAACTAAAATAAGCATGAGAAGTCGTATTTGTATTAACAATAGTGTATATAAATATTCAACCATAATGGTCACGAAAAAACGTTGCTTTTCCTACTTAGATATATGGGATCCCGGGAAATCGCATTCTGAAAAGCCGGGATCGTGTATATATAGAGATCCGGGAAATTGACCATTACCATCTTGCTTTCAGAAAAGCCGGGATCTATTAAACAGTACAGAGATCACGGGAGTTGACCGACTGTCATCATGTCAAAAGGATTTTTGTTATCAATTATGTTAAATAAGTATATCTTATGATCTTTTCTAAAAAATAATATTTAAATACATGAACATAAAATTAAGCCAAATATTGTATTAACAAAAACCATGTGATTGTATTAACAAAAACCATATGAAAATGTCCTACTAGATAAAGCTTAGTTAAAGCTGAGCCAAAATATCTCAAGAAAATCAAAATTGAGAAAAATTTACTAAGATATTTAGAAAAGTAAAACAACTCAAGATTCAAGTACAATTTTACGTAATAATTCACACGTCACATGCGATTAAGGATCTATTTGGCAGTTTTGATCACTATATTTCTACTGTGTTACTATAACGCTCTAAAGGGCATTTTTTGCATATTTTGACCTCTTTTTGGAAATTTGGGTGGATTGTATATAAGTGCCGATTCCAAAGTGTAAATTTCTTTCTTTGTTTATTTATTTTACTATATTTTACTTTAAATAAATTTTCATGAAAATTAGCATGAATCTGTAGGCATATGCAAAAATATCATTTAAAGTCATTGGATACCACATATGTCACAATAAATACAATAAATATCAATTGAAATTAGGCACACTTAAAAAAAATCTAAAGAACTATAATTATATAATTTCTAATCATTACTATCAGTTATTAATTTTTATATGTACAGCCTTCCAAATATTGACACAGACACTTGGGGTGTGGAGCTTAAAACGCCTTTAAAGTCCAAATAAAATGTATATTTGTCAATCCCAGCACATGTGCTGATCATATATATCAAAAAAACTTAAAAGAAGCCGTTTTGAAAAAAATCATATTCCAACGTCTATAATAATCTGTGGATATTGATAGTTTAAGTAAAAAATCCCATCTGTTTGTGTTAGCTATAACGATATCAAAACATTTTTTCATGGAGATAAAAGCTTTATTTCAGTCCAGAATATAACCGTTCGTAATAATTAGTTAGGTGCTACATGGCCTTATTATGCTGGAATGTTCCGTGGTTTACTTTAGGTAAAAAGATATCTTTGGGTTCCATTAAAACTATTTCGGATTTCTCGGTTGTTATTATTGTGCAATGTATGGCGGTAATTCTTGTTTTGTTTTGTTTCATTTTAAAACAAATTAGTGGTAAGTTGGCAGTTTTTCATGGCAGTTTTATCATAATGCATCCAACAAAATAAATGCTTTTAAATATCTGGATGAAATAGTTGCAATTATTCTTGTATATTGATGGCGAAATAATTTCATTTAATTTGCTCTGCAGAACATAATTTTTATAAAATTATTTTATGGAAAGTTATTCTGTTATTCATATAGGTTATTCTAGGTTTAAGCCACTTCCAACGGTTAACCCTTCCACAATGCGGTTGAGTGACCTTATAATCAAGTTTTGAAGTCAAACTGTGGTCAGTGCCTGAGGACTTTTCTGCAGACTTTATACATGGAATGGAAGTGACTAGCCTTACAGATAGCCAGTAGTTCTAGCCATACATGAGTCACATACGGCTAGCCAGGACACACTGTATTGTCTAGCCATATGACACTTTTCAAAATTATATGAAAGTCGAAAATGCACATGTTATTTTGTGTCTTTAAAACGAGGATTTAACCAAGAACTCGCATTTGTTCTCAAATGTTTACTTTTAATAATAAAGATGCTCCGCTATTTTGTCAAAAAAAATAAATAAAAAATTAGACACGAAGGAACTGCAAGCGTTATCATCTTGATAAAAATGTCAAAGTTACATGATGTATTATACAAAGTACATTGTATACATGTGTATGCAAAGATATATTTATGATTAAATGATAAATATTTAAAGTTAAAACTTAATTGTTCTTATGATTTGTTGTTTTATTTGTATGGAAGATGAATTATTAAATCTTTTTTTCTTTTTTTTTTGTTAATTAAGCACATCTAATAAATAATCATAACAGTCAAAGAAGCATGTTTCATAACAGCATGATCTGAGTGGAATAAATAAATTAAAAAGATAGAATATTGGAAAAAAATAACAAAAAAGTAAAAATAATATGATAAAGTTAAAGCAATTGTATAATTGTATTTTTAAATAGATAAATTACGGAATATGATACGAACATAAAAACTAAAAATCCTATAAAGGGACTGACAATTGAATGCATTTCATGGAACATGCAAACTTTCCCGGTATGTCTTAAGACGGGTAGTACACAAACTTACAGTTACAACTTAAAAAAATACTTGCAACCTGTTGACAAAACTATTGTGACAGAAATTCACCGTAAAGCTATAATGGTATTGACCGTAAAGCTATAATGGAATAATTTTGTATCAGACAATACATTTGTGAGTACTGGATTTTATCCTATTGTCAATTTCTATTAGAGGTATATATTAGATTATTATTTGAGAGATTGTTTGCAAGACCAGCTTGCTCGTACTTTAAAATTATTTTGCAATATGCATATTGGTCTGGAAACCCTTCATGGCAACTAAAAAGTGTTATTTTAAGTTTTATTAGTCCCCTACCGGTTTAACCGGAGGGGACTTTAGGTTTACCCTCCGTCCGTCTGTCCGTCTGTCTGTCCGTCTGTCTGTCCGTCTGTCTGTCTGTCTGTCAGTCCGTCAGTCCGTCCGTCCACAAAACTGGATCCCGCGATAACGCAAAAAGTACTGAAAATATTTTTATGAAACTTGATATATGGATAGATGGCAGTATGGAGATTATGCACGTCTTTTTTTTTTCTTCCTATGTTGAAAATTCTGGTTGCTATGGCAACAAATAGTCTGAAAATATGGCAAATTTAACACATAAACTGGATCCAGTGATAACTCAAAAAGTACTGAAAATATTTTTATGAAACTTTAAATATGGGTAGATGGCAGTCTGGAGATTATGTACATCTTTTTCTTTTCTTCTTATGTTGAAAATTCTGGTTGCTATGGCAACAAATAGCCTGAATTTCAAGATTTCTGATTTAAATTTTTCAGCTTTTACACTATATGTTCTTTATTTCTTAAGGTGTTTACTTCAAACTTTAAATATAAGTTTCTGGTCATCAACCACATCATATGTGACAAGGTTTATAACTCTAGCACAAAAAATATCAGTATTACCTCCCTTGAACTTAGATTTTTTAGGGGAAAAAAATGTTGTCTTTTTTAAATAACTTCTTTATTTCCTAATGTATCTACTTCAAACTTCATATATATGTTTCTTATTATCACTCGACATTTTTGAGAAGGTTAAATACTCTAGCAAGACTATTTCCAGAATTATGTCCCCCTTGAACTTAGATTTTTTTCGAGAAACTGGTATTTTCACTCCAACTTCTTCATTCCTTATAGGATTTACTTTAAAATCCCACATCGTAATAATATGACAAGGTTGTATAAACATAATTTCCTTACTAAGCATGGAAACTTAACACATTACTGTGATATAGACAAACTTATTTTATAATGTTTTGTGGTCGATATTTTCAAATACAGACTTCATCCTCAAATTCATTATAAATGGCAATACACAGGAGTGTATGACAATTAAAGAACTTTTTGAGGGACCGGTAGGGGACTACTGTATTGCCTGCAATACTATCAAATGCTTGTTTTCTTTTGTGTTACTTTTTCCTGTCCTTGTAAGTTATCCTAAATGTTGAAAATATCACTACTCACTAGCATATTACTGTCATTGTAAACGTTTTTTGAACAAGTTAAAAAATTATGCTATGAAACCAAACAGTGTTTAAGAAAAATTCTGATGAATTAAATGAAAATAGAAATTAGCAGCTATAATAATTAGGAATCATTATTTCCCTTATTAAATAGGATACCAGTATTTCTAAATTTGAATAAAAGTTAAGCACTCAAATTGAAATAAGAAACCAGACTTTCATAACTGAAATAAAACATGCATAAAAATCAGATTTGAAAGTTTGTTTCATAATTGTTTGGGGAATACTGTAACATGTTGGTTAGAATTACTAGTATTATTATCAACATTATTTTTATGCAAGTTTTATTTATTACAGATTAATGAAGAGACTATGAAGAGTTGACACAATGAGCAGTAAAGGAGAAGAGCTTGGAAAAATGCATGGCTCTTCAGCACCAAACATGAACAATTCAAGTTCTCACTTAACGTCAAAAGTAACAGAAAGGAAGAAAGTTTATCGCTCCATATTTGGACCTGATGCCTCTTCGGAATCTTCAGACACTGACCAGTCGAGTTACAGTACGGACACTGATGGTAAAATGTCATCTCCGATAAAAACTGGCAAAAAATCTCCAATTAGATCTGGAGTGACAAACTCACCATTTAATGACGAAGCTAAAGTAGATGGGGAGATTAAGAAGGATGTAGACAAAAGAAATGAGATGCAGACTAATCAGAATACTGTAGAGGAATATAATACCAAAGAAATTGAGAACATTGGTACAAGTAAAGCTATGCAAGATGACAGCATCTCGAAGGCGGATAAAACACGGAATGTTCAGATAAATGAAGGGCTAAAATTAGGAGAAGTTATACAGATGGAAGGGTTCTTGTCACCAGAAGAGAAAGAAGCTGTATCACAGCTGGCATTATCTCAAATAGTGCATGAACTTGATAAACGAAGTAGTGTGGAACAAGACGGAAACATGGGAACACAGTTGTATACTGGTCCGTATGGCAGAATACATTCTCCGTTCAAGAAATATTCATCATTCCAAGGGTTCCCAGGTGGTGTGAAAAGAAGTCCAAGGTACAATATTTGTGTAACACTTGAAACAGAAATATTTTTACTTAAAAATAAATTAGTTTTATGTATCAGCTGTCAAATTTCAATAGAATATCAAGTAAACATCATGTACAAAATTTATTACAAGTAGAAAAACTTTACTCACAATATTGTTACAATTTGTTGTAAATTCACCTAAACCTGATATTACCAGCGGTCATATAGATAAATGAAATATGAAAAAATGTAAACTACAATCATATTCCATATTCCATAATTTCTTACTTCTTATATCATGCTGTAGTTTCTTACTTCTTATATCATTCCATAATTTCTTCTCATATTGTGTTAATCCTTTCAGAAAAATGGTGGGTCCAGCTGCTAAGAGAACGAAACTGTTCCACAAAGACAGCGTTGAGTCAAGCAGTAGCGAGGCATCTCCGATAAAACATAGGACTCCTCCTGACAAAATTATAACTACAACAGCAACAGGTAAAATAGTGATCTGTCAATTTTCATTTTAATTTATTATAAATCAGTCTTTTTAGATCAGACCCTGTTAGCACTAATTTCAGTAATGATATTTTTTCCAACTTTGAATTTGGATCTGTCTGTTGTTTATTTTTAGGCTTTCAATTTCTGGTCAAAGTGCACAGATATATGCAAGTTAATTGTACTCATATTTTCATCAGAAAGATGATTATTATATCTCTGCATTAAACCAACTCTTAACAGTCAAGTTCTCTAATCAGAACTGAAAGTGTTTAGCTTTAGCCACCAGTATAGAGCCAGGCCAGTTTACACTTCCGGACAGTCTGGACAGGCTCTGTACTGTAACTCACTTTATGTATTTCGATATTGAAATTTGATCTGGCACTATTCTGATTTTTTGCTCACTTTCTTTGCGATATTAAAAATCCTGTTACTTTAAATACATTTATTGTTACAAATTCAATGCAGAGCAAAACCATTACAACAATTCAATGGGTTTAGTGTTGATTTCATTTTTATCATGTCAGTGTAACTGTGTAAGCTATTATAACTTACTGTAGGAAATGAGGGAAGTGGTGACGATAGTTCTGATGACGACCAGTGGGAGATTGTGGATGAGGAACTTCCCACAGAGATTGATCAAGCTCTTGAGGACAAATCTTCAAAGTTCTGCCTCTCTGTCGTGAACGTTAAATCTATTATACATGTAAGATGTTTCAAATTCTGACAGTGTACCACATAGATAGTATAGATAGCAGATTTCCTACTTCACTTTCATACATGCACTTTTTAAAGTGAACATTGATTATTATATAATTTTGGATTACTGTATTATGGTAATCATGGCATACTTTAAAATGGTTAAAATTTGTAGCAAAATGTACTATTAATGCTAGAAATGTTCTTATTTACGGCAGAAAATCATCACAAATGAGAGTGTTGTAGAGATGGTACGTAAAGCTGTACTTGAGGAAATAGATGAGTATGAGCTGAAGTTCGAGCCTAAAATGACAAGATCCAAGCTGAAAGAGATCGAGGCTCAAGGACAGGTTTGACTGTTTATGTGTTTGTGATATAAAGGAGAAATTTTCATAATTTTAGGAAAAATTTCACCGTGATCTCCTTATATTTCTGAACTACTAATTCTTTTTTCATGAACATATCTTTTTCATATAGAATAAGGCCATTACTTGTGAATAAAAGCAATATTGTACATAGTATTATAATTTTGATATATCTCTAATTTTAATCACAGGGCTTTCTTTCCTTCTGTAGCTGTAGCAGTTTGAAGGCTGCTGCTTTTCAGGGAAATCCTTTAAAATCATGCAATTTTTTCCGCTAAAATTCAAATTACATCAAGTTTTCTCAGTTTTGCAAATACACTGTATTTTTTGACTCCAAATTTGAGGGACTTACTGTGAAAAAATTTCCTATGATATATCTCTAAAATCTTTGTTTTGAACAGATACCGCTGAACTGGGGGCTCTCACCGAGAAAGAAGAGGGAGTCGCCAAACTTTCTCGAGATGGAGTTACCGGAGGATGAGGAAGAAGACGAAGATTTTGCCCCAACTGTAACTTATTATTTTATACAATTTTCTTTATAGTTCAATTGTGTTGGAAGCGCTTAAGCTTACTGAAACACATCAGAATCCATTCCTGGAACCAAGCAGTACAAAGCAATGCCTGTAAAAGTTTCTTGCTCAAGGAAACAATGATGTGCCCCTGATTGGGTTTGAACTCGAGCGACCAGCAATCCTTAGATTACTAGTCTGACGCGTTGTCCACTTGGCCATGCCACCATGATTATTATTGTTTATCTATCTTTTCCTTTTAATATTGTTTCCCACATCGTTCATAATCATATACATTTAACTAAAATCTATTTCAACATTATAGAATGAATACAGTTCAACATAGTTATTTTGTTGTTAAGGTCATTTTCACTTTTTCTTATGCTAGCGATAACAAACCTGTGCCATCGGTATAAAGCAAGAGTAGCCGGCACTTCGATGCCATCTAACCTGACTTTATACAGATAACTGCTTCGTTTTAGTATCGTGATATGAATATCTCAAGAACTGCTAATGGATTGTTCCAAATTATCAGGACTAGCCCATTATATTAAGTAAGGCCAGTAATACATACGCATTTTTTCGTAAACACCCGCACTATTTCCGACAACAAATGTATTTGTATCTTATTATTTGTAGATGGTGCAAGAAAGTGACGAAGACAGCGAGAGTGTTCAGTCGTCTTGTTACAGTGATATCGGCTCACCTATGCCATCGACTCCACAGTCGATGCCGTCAACACCTCAATCAATGCCGTCAACACCCACTGTGATATCTGCTACAACTGTTTACACACCAACCCGGGCTGATAATGACCAGTCAACTCCAGTAGATGAGAATGTGGTATTTAACTTTTAAGGAGGGTTTTCTTTTAGAAAAAAAAATTCTGACTTTTCCTACTCAACTATTAAAGAACATTATGGCTGAGAAATGAATAAATTCTTACTCCTTTTTAAAGGGTAAACATGTTTTTATTGTTTAAATAATTATTCTAGAGCATGATAAGATGTTTTTAATCAGAGGAAAGTAGCGCTGAATTTGAAATTATTTGTCATTAAAGTAGCAAAATGTGAACAAAGTAGTGTTTTGACTTCCATACAAAGTAATAAATCACTATAATTGTACTAATTGCCAAAGAATGACAGAAGCAAAGATAGTTCAGGTAACTGAGTAATTTTTTAAAAAAATATAACAGTATGCCAATAAAAATAAAAGCAATTCTGAGGCATAATGGGCCTTTTATGAAAATCTGTTCATTCGCTAAGAAAGTTGTTACTTTCTGTCAAGGAGGCAATTGGATTAGTAAGTTTATTTGAAACAACACTATCTAAATGATGTTTTTATTTTGTTCTGTCTAGCAAAGCTTCTTGAGTCCAATGGGACCACCTTTGCAGACTACAGTTCCGAAATCTGGGGGCCTGGGCAAGAAATTTCAGGATGCTATGGAAAGAGATAAACAAAGAATGGAAGAGGTATGCTCATCATGATATAGATATGATAAACAGGGGACTTCCTTGGCTTTGTGGTTCTTGTCGCTTACTTAAATTATTTCACTTGCCCCTATTCACAGTAGATTCGGGATTCACCGGGGATTTACCAGGGACTTTGGATTCTTTTATGTGATGGTGAAGCTATCCAGCTAGTTTATGAAATGTTGGTGGTTCTGTTCAGTGACCGACTTATGCCAGAAATAATTCACTGTCTTAGTAGTTATGTATGATTGTATGATAAAGTTATATATGAATAATTCATGTTAAAGTGAAATGGTTATTTTGAGATCAGCATTATTGCACCTCTTTTCCAGGAAGCAGAATTGATCGCAAGTAGAACAAGATCTAAGTTCCCCATGACAGACTGCTCTATATTGGATATTGAGGCGGGTTTTGTAGCTCCGGATATAACACAGGATATGTACGAGACATGTGACGACCTAGACTGGAAGGAGTTCCTCTCTACGCTTATCACTTTCCCTGACGGTTTGTTTATCATTTCTCTTATTTATTATAACGGCTTTTAAGCCTTAGAATGCTTGGATCGAAACTGCAGAGCTTACGTCTGCAGTACAGTCCTTGGCCAGTCTGTTCTACTGTACATTCTTACCAGACTTTGTATTGATTGCTGACCAACTTTTAATTAATGGACATTTGCAAAAGTGGAAGTTGAAAAAAACAAAACGTTTAAGAAATTCAGTGGAATAAGACTGGATTTGATGTTTGTTTTTAAGGTTCATATGATTGGCTCATTGATTGACATAAAGACTTGTTTTTCAATTACAGATACAATAACAAACAAATTGAACATAACAAACGAAGAAGAAGACACTGAAGATGATCCGGAGTATAATTTCCAGGAAGAGATTGATACATTTGAGTATGATAGAGAAGATTTCAGAGATGACAGAGCTGTTAAAGTATCCAGTATGTAGTCTACTGTTTACGTTTTAAAGAATAGGGTCGTCAATCATGATTTAGGCAGCTATCCAGCTAGCTTATGGAAGGTTGATTGTTCTACTTGGGTTGTATTTTCACATATGATAAGTACAGTGAATATTATGAGGACATTTTTTATCATTTCAGTGAAATATGGAATCTATTTTCACAAAATACTTAAAAATTTTGTATTTTTATGCCCCCGCCATGTAATGGCCGGGGCATATAGTGTTACCCTGTTCCGTCATTCCGTCCTTCCGTCCTTCCATCCTTCCGTCCTTCCGTCATTCTGTCATTCCGTCATCATCAGTTTCCGTTCATTATCTTAAGAACGGTTGCACACATTCAACTCAAATTTGACATATGGATATATCATGAGAAAATACAGGTCAAGTTCGAATTTGGTCATGGTTCGATGATTGGCAGAGTTATGCCCCTTTTACTTTGAAAATAATATGAAATATCAGTTTCCGTTCATTATCTCCCCAAAGGTACAACACATTCAAATCAAACTTGGCATATGGATATGTCATGAGACAATACAGGTCAAGTTCGAATTTGGTCATGGTTCGATGATTTTTGGCAGAGTTATGCCCCTTTTACTTTGAAATAATATGAAATTTTCAGTTTCTGTTCATTATCTCCCCAACGGTACAACACATTCAAATCAAACTTGGCATATGGATGTGTCATGAGACAATACAGGTCAAGTTCGAATTTGGTCATGGTTCAATGATTTTTGGCAGAGTTATGCCCCTTTTACTTTGAAATAATATGAAATATCAGTTTCCGTTCATTATCTCCCCAACGGTACAACACATTCAAATCAAACTTGGCATATGGATATGTCATGAGACAATACAGGTCAAGTTCGAATTTGGTCATGGTTCGATGATTTTTGGCAGAGTTATGCCCCTTTTACTTTGAAATAATATGAAATTTTCAGTTTCCGTTCATTATCTCCCCAACGGTACAACACATTCAAATCAAACTTGACATATGGATATGTCATGAGAAAATAGAGGTCAAGTTCGAATTTGGTCATGGTTCAATGATTTTTGGCAGAGTTATGCCCCTTTTACTTTGAAAATAATATGAAATTTTCAGTTTCCGTTCATTATCTCCCCAATAGTACAACACATTCAACTCAATTTTGACATATGGATGTGTCAAAGAAATACGCAGGTCAAGTTCAAATTTGGTCATGGTTCAATGATTTTTGGCAGAGTTATGCCCCTTTCACTTTGAAAGTAATATGTAATTTTCAGTTTCTGTTTATTATCTCCTCAATGGTACAACACATTCAACTCAAATTTGACATATGGATATGTTTTTGGAATGCCCAGGCCAAGTTGGAATTTGGTCATGGTTCAATGATTTTTGGCAGACTAATGCCCTTTTCACTTTGAAAATAATATGAAATTTACAGTTTCTGTTCATTATCTACCCAACAGTGTTACATATTCAACTTAAATTTGACATATAGATATGTCAAAGGAATGGGCAGGTCAAGTTGGAATTTGGTCATGGTTTGATGATTTTTTGGCAGAGTTATGTCCCTTTCACTTTGAAAATAATATAGAGACATCTTAGGAATAAGCAGTTTAAGTTTTAATTTGGTTGTGGTTCAATGATTTTAGACAAACTTATCTTTCCTGAATGTTGGAAAAATTTTGAACTTTCAGTTTCAGCACTCATACTGTTAGCCATTATTTTGGCTACAAATATGCAATATGCTATTTTTAAAAGGTTAAGACTGAATAATTTCAGTGCCTTGAACAGTGTATGAAAATGGTTTGTGTTAACATTGAAAAGTTTTAAGGGCTTTGAACTTAAAATGAAAAAAAAAATTAATGCACCATCTGAAATTTTGGCTGCATGTGGGGGCATCCATGGCATGATGACACATTTCTAGTTTACAAAAGGTTTTATTTATGACCTTGTTCTTTATTTAAGTCTGTCATAGTTATCAGTATTTTATTTCAGTCTATTGTGAATGAGGGCGGGACTTTTTAAATTGTGAAAAATAACTCTGTAATGAAAAAGTCCTATTTGATACTGATAAAATTTAGCTATTTTAAATGGGGGAAGTAAGCTTGAAAAGCTGAAAAATGCCTTGATTCATGATAAAACCTTATTAAACAAAGTCTCATAGTTTAATGTCTCTGTAATTGGCAATTTTGTCAACAACTACACTTTGACAGTTGTGAATCTTCATTTAAATAGTTGTGAAAAGAAAAACCCAAACATTTAACACTATGAGATGGGCCCTATTTCAGCGCCAAAACTACATGAAGAAAACACTGGTTATTTAGGACATCCTACTTATTTAGTTATGACATTACTATTTCAGAGAAGGAGATGAACATGCTGTTGGATGATGTACTGAACAATGACGAGGACTACGATAATATAGATGAACAATACAAGATCACCATCAAAACACAGTCGGAAAAAATTGTGTAAGTTTGCATAGGGATAGATAGTCTCACGCAAATAATTCTCAAATTGATTAAGAACATACAAGGTTTATGTTTGATAGTTTCAGTCACTTATTCTTAATATCAGGATAATAAATAACATTGGCCGTTTTATTTGTTTATGATTGTTTAAGTATGGAGAATATGAAAAGACTTATTTTTTAGTAAATTATTTTGATGAATCAATGTTCTTAACAATTTGTTCATCTATGCTTCAGCGTATCAAACAGGTAAAACTCTTTATCCCTCTTGTTGTTTTTTATCCTCCATGTAATATGCTGAATCATAGATTTTTTTTATTTGCTGAGTCATCCGGTTTTGTGCCAAGTCATCAATTTTTGTGCTGAATCATCAAAATTTTGTGCTGAGTCATCAAATTTTGTGCTGAGTCAATAAATTTTGTGCTGAGTCATCAATTTGTGTACAAAGTCATCAAATATTTGTACAAACTCATCAGTTTTTGTGCAAAGTCATCAATATTTGGTGCTGAGTCATCAAATATTTGTGTAGTCATCACAGATTTGTGTAAAATCATCAATTTTTTGTGCAGTCATCAAATATCTGTGCAGAATCATCAAGTTAAGTGCAGAGTCATCAATTTTTGTGCAAAATCATCAAATTTTTTGTGTGCAAAGTCATCAAATATTTGTACAGAATCATCAATATTTTTTGTGCAAAGTCATCAGTTATTTTTGCTGATAAATGGACATGGACAGCAAGCTTGCAAAGGTGCAGCATGATACACACATGTTATGATTTGTATTCACACTATTTTTGTGAAATAATTTGCCTTGCAGTGCTTTAACTCTTTTTTTTTTCTCATCTGGCTGTCATTTTAGGTTAATAGGTCAATATATGTAGAGAGTTAGGTCCATGGATCGCATGATCTGGTGTTGATCAAAATATAAACTGCAATATCTAAGCAGAAGTTTTTTTACTTCGTCATATGTATGCAAACATTCGCAGCCTTTTGTTAGAAATTATAGATGTAGAAATAAATTTTATTTATGTTTTACCAGTCAGTTATGTAGACATCCATGGCTAAGTAGTTAAGGTTGTTCACTTTAAATCACTTGCCCCTCACCGCTGTGTTTGAATCCTGTCAGGCACTTTGGATTCTGTCATGTGAAGATATGCTACCCAGTTAGCTTACATAACATTGCCTGCTCTATTTATATCCATGAAATCATGCAAAGACGGGGCTGTTGAAGTTGTCCTCCACCAGTAAAGCTGGAAAGTATATGACCTTAACTGTGTTGATTTGATAACTAATCCAACAAAAGAAAATAGAAGATAAAATGAAATAAGATTTAGAATGCTGGATTTGAAATGAACAGATAATGTCAAGAGTATATAGCCTGGCCAGTCTGTACATCTGTGCTACGACTCAATACTGTTTTTTGTGTCGCCTCTCTGTTTGTCTGTCCGCACTCACAGGACAATTATTATGTGGCTAGAGGGACAATAGGTAACTGTTCTTTCTCTTTGATGTCATTCATTCCGTAATGCTTTTATGTGGCTATTTTCTTTTGTGTGGCTAAGAAGAACAATAGAGAGAACAATAGAGTAGCCACATTATTACTCTCCTGTTAGAACGTCCGTCTGTCCGTCTGTCCATCACAAAACTTGTCCGGACCACTCCTCATAAACTACTGGTGCAATTTCATCCAAACTTTACAGGAATGATCAGTACCAAGTCTAGTTGTGCATATTGTCAGCATTTTCCAGTTCAATGATTTTTGTCAGAGTTATGGCCCTTTAATAATTTTTATTTTTAAAGTTTGTCTGGACTACTTCTCCTATACCACTAATGCAATTTCAATGAAACTTTACAGGATTGATTTGTAGCTCAAGTCCTTGCGCATATTGCCAGGGTTTTCTGGTTGAATGATTTTTGGCCGAGTTATGGCCCTTTGATAAAAAGGTGTTTTTTTCTGTGTGTTGCCAGATACACAAAAGCTTGTCCGGACTACTCCTCATAAACTACTGGTGCAATTTTATCCAAACTCTACAGGAATGATCAGTACAAAGTCTAGTTGTGCACTGTCCGTCTGTCTGTCACAAAATTTGTCCCAACATGAAATTGGCCATCATGAGGCGACACATGTGATTACTGATCACTCTTGTTATGGTGATAAATGTGATTATGTACTGTTTTAAGAATATAACATCACCTTAGTGCAGTAACAGGTTTACTCCTATTGAATTATATAAGAAGATAACCTTTTATTGCACTAAGGTGACGATATGCTAAAAAAGTTCTTCTGTTTAGTTGTGCGGGATTAGGGTTTAAAAAAAGGTTTAACTGTATTTAATGTGTGTCAGAGTTTTTGTGCTTTGCTTAGTTATATATGAAATCTTTGATAAACTATTAAATGCTTTATGGCTGAACATATTTCAATAGTGGAGATTTGTGAAAATTAGGACAATTTTAAATACTAATTGTTGAAAATGTATAAATGTGTGAGATTGGTGAACTCTAGGAGGAACTTTGTAATGCTTTTTTTGTGGAAAATAGCTCAATGGGGAGATTTGTGAATTTAGAGACAACCTTTCTAATGTTTTTTGTTAAAAGGATGGAGTATTGCATAATTTTTATTTATTTGCCTTTAATGTGGTCTAATGGATTAAATTTTTTGCAATATCATTTAATGTATTCAAATATTTCTTGGCCATTGAAAAATACTTGTTTTTGAAATGTTGTACATAATCATAGGAAAATATTTTGTTCTAATTTTCATCTTGCATTAAATCCTAAAAAACAACAACAACAACAACACATTAATATAACTAGATTAGTCTGGATAAGTTTTTATTTCATAAAACATGAAAAATTTGTATCTTTAAGGTATAATTTTGCAGTGTGTAATTATATTAGAATTGCTAAAATGTGTACTTGAAGTCTGAGTGTTAACTTACAACTCACTCATCCAGAGTTTTCACAGCCTTATTTTGATCCTTTGAAAATATCCTGTCTTAGAATATGATAACTTTTTGGTTTTAAATGTATTTTTAGATTGTAAACTTTTTAGTATCAAACTGAAACACATTGATGCCTTAATGGAAACAACAAATAAAACCATAATTATGATCAATGAAATAAGATTGTTTTTAATAAACACATATTTTGCCCATTTTGATCATTGATTAACCAGGAAGCTATTTAAATCAATGAATCATGGTTTATTTTTAGCTCTCCTTTTCAAAGAATAGGGAGAGCTTTTGTACTCACCCATTTGTTGGCAGCAGCATCACACTTTAGTTTTTGTGTGCAAGTTTGTATCTCAAAAATTACTGAATGGAATAGTTGAAAACTTAACATACTTATTTGAGAGCATGAGGTCATTGTCCAAGACCATAAACAAACAAAGATTTTAATGAATGTGTAAACGAGTCATGCAAATGTTTATTGATATTGTAAACAAGCAAAATGTACAAAGACTGTGTCAACAGGCAATATGTTGTAATTATATTTGTAAAGAACAAAATTATTTATAAGCAGAATATTCATTGAAGAAACAATAAAAAATTTCATAGAAGGTGTTAACAAGAAAACCTATGTAAGTAAGCATGTGTTAATAGAATATGTAAATTTCGTCTGTGTAGACAAGCAAAATAGTCATAGACTTTGTAAACAATCAAACATGTGAAGTGTGTAATCCTCATATTATTGCTACGGATTATTTCAGGTTTAATAGTAACAAGAAGAAACAGACGCAGTACCAGCAGTCTCTGATCTCAGCTATAGGCGAACATGAACGCAAACAGATAGATGATCAGCTAAGGAAGGTAAAAAAATTTTACCACATTTTGCCAGGCTTTGTATTTTCGAACAGTCCATTTGATGGTTAAGGGATTTTTGTATCAGATTACAAAACTTGAGTTATCAATAGTATAAAGCCTGGTCAGACTACATTGATTTGTAAGCTCTGGCTCTAAATCACTTTCGAGTCTGCTTCCTGGAACCAACCAGTACTTGTGTCATATGTAGAATCATGGTTGTGACCTGATGAGGGCTTAAATCCATCATCCTTGGGTTGAGAGGCAGATACATGATGTGGTGTCATGTTCATTCTAGCAGGTTAAGGGTTTAGTTTTAAAAAATAGTTCAGCTGTTTTACTGCCTATAAGACTTAATTCATAGTACTCCCTGTTTGCTTGTAAAAGGGATATACAGTAAACTTCACTTATAGCGAACACGGTTATAGCGAACTTCCGGTTATAGGGAACAATTTATTTTGGCCCGAATTTTGCCCTTCTTTATTTAATATAAAAATATATGGTTATAGCGAACACGGTTATAAGGAATTATCGCTTATAAGGAACTCATTTCTTAGTCCCAATTTAGTTAAAAGTACAGAAAATTACACTTTTATAACGAACTCCAAAATATTGGCTATCCGTAAGAAGATGCCGCATTTTCATCTTTCGTTTTCATTGGCACGGATTCAAACTCGGCCGAATGTACCGTTTATTGTTGTATGTACTTCAATACATCTATTAAAATGAATTTGTATAGTTTTCTATTTAGGATATTTTTAGCATGAGCTCTTTTCACCAAGATAAAACGGTTATTTATTTTTTTCTTCAATAGTTTTGCTCGAGTAAAATAATTATAATAATTTATAATCGGTTTTCAACATAATCACGCATGCTTGCAAGCATGATCCATTGCAAACTCCAAAGTACGCTTGATTTAAATGAAAAGATATCTATATCTTACACCCTTAGATTATAATAGAAGATATTCATTATAAAAGGAAGGAAAAATCGAAAATCTTGTTTATTCTCAATCATGGAAAGAAAACGAAAAGAGTTTAGAAACAAAATATTATATTTTATGAGAAATTGAGATAGGGGGTAAAACTAAAACTAAAATAGCAATGATTTTCAAATTCCAAAAAGTACGCTCTCGGGTATTGTGTCTAAAATAGAAATAAATGACTAATATTTCTTAAATAAATGCTCTTCAAAATGGCGGACAATGTAAAAAATCAGTTCGTTATATGTCAATCTGTTCGCTATAAAAACTCCTGATACAAGGAACTAATTCGCTATATGCTTACAAGGAACTCCGGATATAAGGAACAGATTTTGAAAGTCCCAATGAGTTCGTTATAAGCGGAGTTTACTGTACCTGTTTTGATGTAATGAAAAAGTTATATGATTTATTGAATTTTGTAGATTTTATTTTCATATATTTATCTCAACTTTGTTTATGACCTTCTGTAAAACAGTATAGTTTGTATATTAAGTGGAAGAAAAAGCATACATACTTTATTTTAATCTTAGCTTACCATATAAATACATGTGTTATGTTTACAGCATGTACAGCAGTTGGCTCAGACGTATGTGTTGTCTCAGAATGGTATAGCAGAACATAAACCTATGGGACATACAGCTCGATTTTATCTGGTATATACTATTGTTAATTTGTAATATTAGCTCGCCAGAACCAAAGGTTCAGGGTGACCTATTAGTATCAAAGGGGGATGCTCCAGCGTCATGCGTCAACAATCATATTCTTCTCTGAAACTGCAGGGCAGTTTTACTTCAAATTTGGTTTGTGGCATCCTTGTGACAGTCACACTTGAATTTGCTCATGTGATTTCAATTGGCCCCTTTTAGGGGTCAACAGAGCTAAAAATAGAAAAGCCTTACATTTTCTTCTACAGAACTAATTGATGGATGATCACCAAACTTTGTAGAATTCTTTGGTAGTCTTATATCAAGTTTGCTCATTTTAATTTGATTGGCCCCTTTTAGCTAAAGCTAAAAATAGAAATACCTTCGAACTTCTATTTCTACAGAACTAATTTATGGATGATCACCAAACTCTGTCTGTAGCATTCTTAGGTACTCTTTTATCAAGTTTGCTCATATTAATTTGATTAGCCCCTTTTAGGGGTTACTAAAGCCAAAAATAGAAAAACCTTTGAACATCATTTCCTACTGAAATAATTGATAGATGATCACCAAACTTTGTAGCTTTCTTAGGTAGTCTTTAATCAAGTTTGCTCATATTAATTTGATTGGCCCAGTTTAAGCTAAAGCTTAAATGTCCCAGGTCATGGCATTTCTTCAAATTATTGTTTAAACATATTCTATGCTCAAATTTAATATTAGAATATATTGACATTCCAACACTGAAAAGCAGTGTTTCTGGTGAGCGACTCAGGGCCATCATGGCCCACTTGTTATCTTTTTTGTTGGGTTTTATGTCGCACCAACACTGTACAGGTCATATGGCGACTTCCCATGTTTACTGGCAGAGAAAGACCTCAGTTTCCTCTTTGGGCACTATTATTTAAGGCACAAACAGGCATCTGAATAGAACCACCAATGTTCTTTAAGCTAGCTGGATAGCTTCTTCACAAAAGAGTTCAACTGCCTGCCAGGACCCCAACCCACAGCAGTGATAATGTATAACCTTGGCCACAGACACCCATCATCTTCAGTAATCTTCTTTAATGATGCTTCTTGCTTTCATGGAAGTACATGATAATTCCTTTCTAATTCACATGTTTATTACACCATCAGTGCTATGTGAAGGAAATACAGGAAACCATTTAAAAATAAAAAATCACATGGTGATTAAGCTTGGTTTTTGTGTCGCCTTGAAAAGGCGACATATAGGGGTTACTTTCGTCGGCGGTGTCAGTGTCTGTGTCGGCGTCGTTGTCGGCGTCGTCGTAGGCGTCCCCTAAAGCTTGTCCGGAGCATAACTCAGTCACTATAAGTCTGATTGACTTCAAACTTGGTATGCATGCTTCTTTCAATAACCCGAAGTGCAGGGCACAAGGACCGGTACTCTGCAGTTCTTATTTTTTGAGTTATTGCCCTTTGTTAAATTTTATACTTTAATTTTGTCCGGGCCATATCTCTTCAACTAAAAAAGCTATGGACTTGAAACTTCATAGGATGATAGATCTCATTAAGAAGAAGTGCAGTGCATAAGAACCGGTACTCTGCACTTCCTAATTTTTTAGTTATTGCCCTTTGTTAATTTTCATACTTTATTTTTGTCCGGGCCATTTCTCCTTATGTATAAAAGCCATGGACTTGAAACTTCATATGATGATAGGTCTCATTAAGAAGAAGTGCAGTGCACAAGAACAGGTACTCTGCATTACTTGTTTTTTGAGTTATTGCCCTTTGTTTATTTTCATACTTTAATTTTGTCCGGGCCATTTCTCCTTAAGTATAAAAGCTATGGACTTGAAACTTCATAGGATGATAGATCTCATTAAGAAGAAGTGCAGTGCACAAGAATCGGTACTCTGCATTTCTTAATTTTTGAGTTATGGCCTTTTGTTGATTTTTATACTTAATTTTTGTCCAGGCCATTTCTCCGAAAGTATAAAAGTTATGGACTTGAAACTTCATAGGATGATAGATCTCATTAAGAAAAAGTGCAGTGCATAAGAACTGATACTCTGCATTTCTTATTTTTTGAGTTATTGCCCTTTGTTGATTTTCTTACTTTATTTTTGTCCTGGTCATTTCTCCTCAAGTATGAAAGCTATGGACTTGAAACATCATAGAATGATAGATCTTATTGATAAGAAATTCAGTGCACAGATATGCTGCTCTGCACTTATTATTTTTTTAGTTATTGACCTTTGTTGTTTTTCATATTTCATTTTTGTCCTGGCCATTTCTCCTAAACTACATTGTTCACAAGGCGACACATCCGACTCGCGGAGTTCTAGTTTTTTTTTCAATTTTAATAGATAGTCTTGCTGCCTTATAGAATTTTCATATATTTTACGTTTATAATGAATTTCAACCAAATCAATACAAGACTGATTATGCTTAATCAAATTGCCAAAACTTTTTAAGCAAATCGAACCAAATCTTTTCAAAAACTATTATAGGGGAACATAAACCATGAAATGCTAAAGATATTTATTTATTAACAGAACTTTTCACCTTGTATAAAATGATAAGATTTACTGAGTGATTTTCTTTCTTGTAGAACGAACTAAAAAACTTTGCGGATAAATCGGAAATAATTTATGGTACATCAGCATACAGAGTTTGTAATCTGGGAGAAGCTCTCCGTCTCGTGGATGATGACTTGTGGCAACAACAAGCAGATGACATACCTCCTGATGTCAAGGAAAGAATAGAATCTCTGACATTTAAACATGGTATGTTGCTTACATAATAGCGTGGTATAATATGGTCTAGCTGGTGTTTTTCTTTGGAGTGAAACAAGTACACTCGATTATGCTAAACTGTGATTCAATGCTGGCAATTGGATTCTTGGTCTAGCTGTATTTTAATTCAATTTGCTATCATTTTGAACTTGATTATTTTAAAGAATAGGCAGAGCTTTTGTACTTGGCTTGATGTTGGCTTCACACTTTGGTTAAGTTTTTGCGTGCAAATTGTTATCTCCAAAATTACTAATGGGAATGGGTTGAAACTTCAGACACTTGTTCTCTGTGATTATCTAACATGATATGCACAAGTCTTGAGTTACATTTTTACTTTATTGAGTTATGCCCATTTTCTTACTATCAAGCACTGAGAATAGTTGAACACGTTTTACAGACAGCTGTTGTTGAATTAAGATTTAGAATAGTTCGATTTTGTTATTTGAAGTAAAACATATGGTTGCATGGGCAAGTTATATTGTATATTTATGTTTAACTGTTGTAGTAAAGTTGTGACAGAATGTGTATTTTTGTTTCAGATTCTCAGACTTTACCGGCATTAACTTATAAACAGATGTTAGTCATGTGGACCAGTCCAGTTTTTATATTTCCCGAGTTACTACCACATGGTGGATTTTTTAAACAAGTTGATATCAAGAGAGACAGGGCTAGAGTAAAATTCCTGGAATCAGAAGATAAGTAAGTATTAGTGGGCTATCATAATACCACTTTCACCTTATCAACTTAAATATCAAGTTTAAATATTATGAATAATGCATAATATGTATATTATTAACAAAAAAGATCATAATGATCTTTTTTGTTAATAATATACATAGGAATGTGTAGTACATTTTATCATGGTTAATTGTTACCAACCCTAGTACAGTCGAGACTGTCATATGTGACTTTCCAAGGGATCTTCAGAAAAAGGTCACATATGACAGGGAGTCTCTTAATACAGTCTCAAAGAAAATTAAATTTAAATATCATCTATCTGTCTATATACCATTGTGACATAAAGATCCTGTATGTTTTGTGAGTGATATTGTTTGTTCACTACACTTGCAAAAAAATATATATATGGATATAATTATGCAAATAAAACAATTTTCCAACATCAAAGAATATGTAAAATGTGTACTGCAAATATTTGTGCACATTATATTTAATCAATAAATTACATGCATTGATTTCTTATTGGAAAATTTGACTAAGAATTTATAGAAAATAAAGTTCTAATTACCTCCCTTTAATGGCCTTTATTTACATGAAATGTTAAATTGGGTGATATCTTTATAAAGCATGCTTATTTGAACTTACAATAGTGACAAATCTTAATTTGAGCATCATATTTATGAAATAAAACCATGAACAAATTGTGTTACATATCCATATCCAAAACTTTTTCTGGTTTGATATCAATATGTTTTCCGTATTAATTATGCAGCCATAGAAATGTAAATTAAAAAAATGCTGCTTAAAAAATCTTCCGTGGGCACTCTATAATAAAAAAAAATCTAACACAAGTCTTCACCCAGTTCACTTTATGTACATTACACACACATCGATTACATCATGCTTCCCATCAACAGACGCTACGTCACTTGATACCTGCATGTATACTGTGTATACCTGCATGTATACTGTGTAATTGAGATAGAGGTGTGTAGACTTTATTTGCTACTGGATTATAATTGGACTTAATTATTTTGGCCCTCTGGGTGTTATAATAGGTATAAATTATCTTATTAACGGACAATTAAAAGGTGTGAAAGTCGTTTAAATCAGACCAAACATTGCATTGGGACCAGACAATTAGGGTCGCTTGTCACATATGACAGGGAGTCGTTTAATTCAGACCATTTATATAGGAAAATACGTTGGGAGGACTGAAACAAGGTCGGATAAGACAGGGAGTCGTTTAAATCAGGGGGTCGCTAAGGCAGTCTCGACTGTATAACTCAAATAGGCCTTGTACTAGTAATCTAATGAGCGCTTACTGCATGGATTCAAACTGTGTCAGGGGAAAATAGTTGTTTCCTTGAGCATAAAACTTTACACTCATTGCTCAGTACTGGTTGGTTCCAGGAACGGATTCGAAAGTATCTACAAAAGCTTATAGCTTCGTACACAAACTAAAATTATGTAAATCAATAGACCTCGTAGGCCAAGATTTACACATTGTTACCAATTATGATTTAGTGTATTGACTAGATAAGCTGCTGATATATTTTGCTAACATGTTCTAATTTGATTCAAGTATTATGGAACTGTAAGTGAGTAGAATATTGTTAGGCTCTTCTCTCTTCCCACGCACCCACTTAATAATTAGGTCTACACTTTAAAATAAGTCCATTTATATCTTTATTTAGGAAAAAATAAAATAGGCCCTTTTATACCTTTATTTGGGAAAAAAATAAAATAGACCCATTTATACCTTTATTTAGGAAGAAGCCAACTTATGACAGATTTGAAGTAATGCAGTTACACTATTGATATTTAACATGTTACATGTTACACATAATTTCAGTTTACTAGCAATGGGTGTGGCCCAGTTTAGTCATCTAAAGAAGGATGCCAAGGATTATATACAGAGATTTATGTTACCATGTAAATCAAGGAAACAGATTGAGATACGTATAAAGAATCTCAATGCCAAAGTTGCCAAAGACAATGCTGTTAAGGTAATTGAAAGATTAGATCTTATTTAAACTCTAGGAGGACATTCCAAAGACAATTTTAAAAAACTGTACTGGTTGCTTTCTTTGCAAATTATATTATACAAATATGATCATATAAATTGTACTAGTTTTATTCTTGGCAAACTGTATCATGCAAATATAAATCATAAAAATTTTGTAAGTTGCTTTCTTCGCAAACCATGTCATGCAAATATTGTGATAAAAACTATATAGGATGCTTTCTTGGGCATTCTTATTGTGCAAATATGGTCTTAGCAATTGTACTAGTTGTGTTCTTATACAATCTTATGCAAATATGGTCTTAGCAATTGTACTAGTTGTGTTCTTATACAATCTTATGCAAAAATGGTCTTAGAAATTGTAGTAGGTGCGTTCTTAGGCAGTCTTGTCATGCAAATACAATTATAGAAATTATGCTGGTTGCTTTCTTAGTCAATCTTATTGTGTAAATATGGTCTTAGAAATTGTTCAAGTTGCTTTTTGGCCAATCTTACAATGCAAATATGATCTTATAAATTTGTACTTGTTGCTTTCTTGGCAAATTTTTATCATGGAAATATCTTCATAGAAATTGTACAAGTTACTTTCTTGGCCTATTTTACCATGTAAATATGGTCTCAGAAATTTGTACTAGCTGCTTTCTTTGCAAAGATGATGAAACTTTTGAACTATCAAATCTTATTGTGTGAATAATTTAAATGTTGAATTAATGTGACTAAATATTGAATTTTGTTATATAATTTGTATGTTTGCTTTTCAGTTTTTCAAAAGGTATAAAATACTACCTAGGTTTCCTCAGCATTGTCCAGATTTTGACATAAGTATGATGAAGTCATTTAAAGATAGCCATTATGATTGGAATGAGCTGCCATGGTGGTGTCGGGTGAGTTTATTATACTTCTATAACTATGTAACTTTCATGTGCATGCATCAACTTATGTAAAGGCACATTAAGTCATAGAAATGGGGTATTTTTTTACTGTAAAAAAGCCAAACATATTCATTATAATGTCATAATAATGGATTTAGAACATGAAAGATGCTTATCTCCTGAAGAAAATAACACTGAAAGTGAAATGATTTGTGATAAAGATATCAAAATGTAAGAAAAGTCGTAATTTGACTCCCATACCAAATACTAAATCACTGTAACAGGCCTAATTGGCAAAATGCGAAAGAAGCAAAAGCTGATTCAGCTATTTGAGTAAATATTTGTAACTGTTAGAGAACAGCAAAATTTAAAAGCTTTGGAAAAATGAAAGTATGCTTTTTTTAGGCTTGATTGGACCTTTTACCCCAATTTTGCACTAAATGTAGTGATATAGTGGGAAATTCTCCATGCTCTATTGAATATTATATATTAATCATTGATTTTTTAGAAGTGATGGAATTAGAAATTTGACATAAAATACGGGAAATAAAATTTGACATAAAATATGATTATCAATTTTCGAGCAGATACATAAAGGGGAATGCTCTTTTGCATGAGTACTTGATTTATTTTACACATCTCTTTCTCTGTCAAAGTGTTTTATGAATTTCAGCTTGTTTACTATAAAGTCTCTTTCTTTTGCATAGTATTTTTTTACAGATTTCGGCTTGTTTACAGTAATTACATGTATATTTCAGTTTTTCTGTATAGATGACTCGTGTTTTTCTAATGATTCAATGAGGGATCAGTTGGATAGACAGAAGGAGATAAAAAGACGAAGAAGGGAGAGACTGTCGGCCAGTTTTTCTGTGTCAGAGTCGGACATCGCAGCTATGGTATGTATTTAATATAAAAATATAACCCATGATAAATACATGAATTTGATTGGTTAAAATATGCTTCTTATGAGGTCTTTGTCAAATGACCTTTTTACTCACACCGCAGTCTGATCAAGACCCATGCTGTTCGCTGTCAGTTTCTCCACTTGTAATAGAGTTGGTAAGCGAACAGCATGGATCCTGATCAGACTGCGCAGATGCACTATGTTGGTTTTGGCGTGACGCGGCTCATATCTTGCGATGTCAGAAGTAAAAAATGTTCGCTCATTGAAATAATTATATTTCAGTTTTAACACTGAAACAAAAAAAGGGTTAAAGAAAAGAACCACTTCTGTAAGAAATTGTTTAAAATGTATGATTCTTGATTTACATAGAGGTTGCATAGTTATCCAGGCTAGCATGACTTTATATTTGTGGTAATTGCAAGTCAGTATTGCCATTTAGAGGAAGAAAATTGTAAGATGCAATATGTGAGTTATATGCTATAAACCTTGTCAACATTTTGCAACTTTTGTTATTAACCTCGTATTTACATGTATTGTGTATTTAATGAATTATTAAAATCTTAAACATCTTGAACAGTTAATGTTCGACTTGATAAGGAAAAAGGCTCATTAAGGAAAAATTATGCCCCTTTTTCTACTTAGAAATTCTTGGTTAAGCAAATATCTCCATAACTACTGAAGGGTCTGTGCCTTTTTTTTGAACAATTTTATGCATTTTATATTAATAAAGCAGTGATTAACTTGATAAAACATCTTAATAGCAAGCTTTTGTACCTTTTCGAACAATTTTATGTATTCAGATAGGTAAGCATTCTTATACTCAATGAAACACACTTGTGACAACTTTTCAAGTAGTCGAGCTTTCTGTCCTCCGACAGTTATTGTTCTATTTTATAGTAATTTATTGATATTTTCAGCTAACACCACCTTGCTCGTCAGCTTCAGCACCAGTCACGCCTCATCAGAATACAGACAGCAGCATTTCAGGATCATCCGGTAGTGAAACTGGTATCATCTTACGCCCTGTGAAGAGAAAAAGGTATCACCATAAAAATATATGTCATTTTAGATTCACATTTTCAAATTTTCACTTAGTTCATTCATTTTGAAGATGAAAATAGATATATTTTCGGAATAATGTAAATAATACTTTGTGAAATTCTGGGTTTTAAAATGAAGTTAGTTTACTCTTGTCGAAGTTGGAGATATTTAATTTTAAGTTTGTTTAAGTAAAATATCTTTCACTCCATTTTTTAAGCCAATTTTTTTACATTCAAAACCATTTTAGATTTTTGTTACATAAAGAAGCTTTTATGCTTAGTAAAATTATATATAATCCATTATAGGCCAAGACGACCAAGCAGAAAAAAATTAAATATGAACAAACAGAAGAAAAGTGAAATGGGAGTTGTAGGTTCCTTTGTACCGATACCGCTGCCCAGCTCTACTGTTCCAAAACCTCAGCCAAGTCCATTAACAATCTGTGTTCTTGACAATATACAGGGTTTAAGCCAGGTACCAAACACCATAAGTCCATGTCTTGGCACCTTGTCAGGAAATACGTCTGCTTCTTGCACTCAGCCAACAATACTCGTGATTAATAAAAATGCTGCGCTACAAACACAAAGTTTTAGCCAGGCAGTGACTTTTTCATCTTCAATGATATATTCCCAACCATCGACACCATATACGCAGATGTCCTCTCATGTACCGCTTTCAATGCCATTGTTAAGTGCAGAAAGTTCAAGGAACGAGAGTGACGTTGATACAAAAGAGCTGACATTTGAGGATATTTGTAGACCAATCATGGAAGCGGAACTGGCAGAAGGAGGTGTGGAGCAGGATGACTTGACAGAAAAGGAACTTTGTAGATTGTATAGTGAAAATGGTTCGGTCTTTCATGTGGACGGTGTTAAAAGTGATGTTATTGTTAATGTTGTTGAAAGTGTTACTGAAAATAGCACAGTCTTACCAAATGTTGAAAGTGTGACTATAAATAGTACAGGCATACCTAATGTTGAAACTGTTACTATAAATACTAAAGCCATACCTAATGTTGAAACTGTTACTATAAATAGTAACAATGGACCTGATCACAGATCAACTTCTAGCCAATCAACTGATGTACCAAATCGGGCTTTAAGTTCAGATGTTCTGAATAACAGTATGTGTGAAGTATATTCTAATGAAATTCCAACCACTGTGTTAGAAGATCAAAGTGAAATGTCAAATAATGACGTGGAACCAGCATTAGAAAATGTTGCAACTTCTTTACCTATTGATGATCTGAAACAAGAAGTTGCTGTCCAAGTTGAGACTAATGCGACACCTGTTGAAGGTCAGAAAAGGGACGAAAGTGAAGGGACAAATGATTCCCTGATGGAGTGCAGGTGTACCCCAACACAAGAATTAAGTTCTCAAACGAGTGGTTATACTGAAATGACACCGAAACAGTCACGCTCCAGTTCTGATATGTCAAGTAGTGAAAAGACCCCAAAATCTTCGTTAGAGGTTGTAGCGTCTCTAGCGCCTTATTTCATTTCTCCGATTCATAGTGATGGATCGCTACAATATAGTTTAGAAAAGACTCCGTCAAAAAGGAAACTTCCTACTCTGGCTCCAAAGTCAGTGTCCCCTAGTCAAAGAAGTGTGCCAATTTCATTCAGTGATCTTAGAAGTCCACCACGTCAGAAGATAAGTCCAAGTCCACGGAAAAAGCATCTCCAGCAACAAGTGAAAACTATCTTGCCTAAAGGTTTTGTTATGAGTTCGTTTGACACTTCACCTGCTAAAAAAGCTGCATCGAGCTTGGTTGATAAAGCTAAACATCTCGTGAACAGTTCACCAAAAGGTTTTTGTAAAATACTTCCTCGTCCTCCAAATCAGACTGTTTCCAAAAGTGGCACCGTGTTAAGCAGATGGAAGAAAAGACGAAGTGCAAAGAGAGTTGTGAATATGAATAAACAAGACAATACAAAAGAGTCTGGGATTGATACTCAGAGTGAAGACATGTCTGATAATGTGAATGAAGAGGTTAACGAGAACAACAACCAGACAGGTGACGAGGACGATCGATATGGTGACACAGAGAGTGATTATACACAGAGTGAGGATGGCAATGAAACACAGGTATACCATGATTCATTATAAATCCACTACAGTCTTAACTGTTTTTTTCCTGAATATTTATCATTGACTTGCCCTGCTTTAAATTTGGAAAAGTCCATTACGATTAGAAGGGATTTCAGTACCAAATATACAAAAATTATGTTTAAAAAGTTCTGAAGCCGATCAGACATCGCCAATCTGCAGGCTTGTATCTGCAGGCTAGTTTGATTCTGTATGATGGAATAGGCCTAGATAAAACTTAATGTGTAATTATTTGATTGCTTAATGGAATAAGCTGATGCATCAAGGACAACAAACCTTTCATATCCGTGTCTTTAATCCTTTCACTGCCATAGGGACGTCTTAAGCCGTCCCTGTTTTTTTCGGCGTATTTGCCATATGGACGGCTTTAGCCGTTTCTATTATAATAATAGTAATAATAATAAATTTATAAAAATAATAATAATAATAAATATAAAGAAAATTATACCATCGACAATAATTATTATTATACTAACAGATTTGTAAACATATGTAATTATTATAATACTAATAATAAATAATAATAATTATATTAATTAATAATATAGTAATTTCTTAGAAAATCCTCTGGCAAATAGGTGACCAATAAAACAATAACCCTCTGGCAGCGAAAGGGTTAATATAAATGACTTGTGTTGCGAATTTGAATTTCCTTCATCTGCATTTAGTAAAAATGTTATTTCTGTTCCATTATATAACTGTCTTAAACTTAGTCATATTTTTGTACAGATGACACATTTTTTTTCTCAGTTTATGCGTTAGGTTGGCAATTATATCCAGGGTCCTGAAATAATGCGTGGGTGGGAATTCTGGGTAAAAGTGGAATTGCCAATTTGGTGTTTATGGTGTGCTTAAATAAAAAACCTCATAATTTGCAAATTAAGCATCATATAATGCTATATACAGGGTACAGATGGTGAAGATGTTGACACCCAGGGTACAGATGACGGAGAGGGAACACTAGGTACAGATGGGGACAGTCAGGACAGTCAAGAAGAGGACAATCATATAGCTGATCTCATGACAGCTAGTACTACTATAGGGTGTGTATGCTTAACATTTTTATACCACTTATGCAAAATTTATTGCTGAAATAGCATTTTTTAGTGCTTTTTGTAATACTTTTAATAATATTTATTGATATTAATGCTTTTGATTATTTTATTTTTCTTGAACTTGAAAATTCTTGATACCAGTGACTATACTTGTTATGTTTATAAATTAAGGTTTGTGCCGACCAGAGAAAGTCTTCACAGTGGATCAAGATTAAGAAGGAAAGATAGGAACAGAGCCCTGACTCTGGCACTGTTGGAGCCAGATATTGTAGAGGCTGATCCCCAGGTAATTGTAATAAATAATACTTGATAAGATTCCATATACCTTGATATTTTCAACAGAAAAAAGCTGTTGTTGTTTAACAAATGATTTAACAAAAAACTTGCTATTTGCTGTGCATATCTTAAAATACATAAATTGTACCTTTAGGGTTGATTTGTTGTGAATTTTAATGGGGAAATACGCTTTTATTATAAAAGCAAGTAAATAGATATCTTTTTAACAACAGTAACTTAGAAATAAAGGGATAATCAATCTTTGTGTTTAAATAAAGATATAAAAAAAGTGTTGTATGTGTATATTGTCTTAAAGAGAATGGTGGTTATCTTTGTGTTGAATTTAATTTAAACAAAAAAAAAATACTATGAAATATGAAACAAAAAACTTTATTCTGGTAGCAAAGATAAGTGATTTTCACTGTGCAGTGTTTCATTTCAGCGTGACCTTAGAGATACGTTATTTGCCCAAGCATACATACATAAAGTGAAGAAAGTATTGAAAGATGATGTGGATAAACTAGAAAAATTTCTCAGATTAATGTATCATTTTAGCCAAGAGGGAACCTCCCCCGTCAAGGTAATGCTTTTTTGATGTCAGAAATATAATGCACGGAAGGACACCTGAGGTCTTCCTCCGCCAGTAAAGCTGGAACGTTGCGTTATGACCTATACTGTGTCAATGTGATGTAAAACCCATTACAAAACAAAAAACAAAAAAAATGTCGGAAATAATAAATATGTGAGATATTGAAATATGGGTAAAGTTGATTTGAAATAATTTGAATAAAAGATGTTTTATGTCTTCTAAATATCTAGTTTGATCGTGGATAAAATAGTGGATTAAGTACAGGTATATATTTATCAAAAACTCCAGCACCAACAATATGTTGTCATAGCTTTAAAGATGAGTAAAAATTAAAAGATGTCTTAACCCATGATAAGCCTTATGTTTCATCACTGACAATACACAGGTATTGCAGCCCAAATCTTTTACCATTAGCTATTAAGAAATTAGAGTAAAAGGAACTTCAAGTCAAGGATTGACTTGCAAATATCATGTCATATGAAAGACACTTCAAATAAAGATGTACAATATCACACAATGATTCAATAAACAAAAATAAATTGTGGTGCAGAAGTGGGATAATGCCATTTAATAAAAACCATATTACACTAATGTAATAACACGTGATGTCATTTGTGTTATATACAAACATAGCGTAAAAGCATGCTTATGTTAGCTTTACACTATAGGCATGTTGTAGAAAAATGACTTTTTCCCCCTGTTTACCGTTCTTATTTTGGATATGTGATAAATAGAATATGTTATTTTGGTTTTGGAGTGATATATGTGGATATATTACCTGTCAAGATTTTATATCACCCGAGCCGTTAGGCGAGGATGATATTTTATCTTGGCAGGTAATATATCCACATATATCATTCCAAAACCAAAATAATAATTTTATTGCCCATCCCCTGCTGAGTTAAGACGATTTTAAAATAAATCATTGCTACTGCAAATGAAACGACGAAATAAGATTCCTCTTAGGGTACCCCTTCATCACTACATGACGTCACATAAATACATGACGTTTTTTCTTTCGAACCTAACGAATGTAAACAAGAGAAAAGGAGTAGTCTGTTGAACGTTCTTTTTAAGAATTAATATCAAGCTTTCACAAGGTCATATTTGTTTTCAATACTGATGAGAATATGTATGAATACTCTATTTTGGTAAATTTTTATCATTTGACAGTTAAAAAGTGCTTGTTAATCGGAATTTACATCGCGTAAAATCAAACCGTACGCCCATCGCCACAGCGCATGTTGTTTAGAATGTGGGGTTCCAAACGGGGAAATTTAGTGTGTATATTACCCGTCTGGCTCGGTAATATCAATTTCTTTCGGGTGATCAATATCCAATCAAAAAGGCGGAAAAAATCTGGAAGGATAATAAAATATTATATTCGTGAAGATTCAATTCTTAATTTATTGATCATGTTGAATAAAACAATATCATGCTCACCAGAGGCTTGTATAGTATGTTTTTATTCAACTTGTTTAATAAATTCAGTATTAAACCTACACTCATTCAATATCCTCTTTGTCACATCATGCATTAAAATTGTTATTTCAGTTATACAATGATCTACAAGAACTGTTCTCAAATCAGCTGGAGTTGATCAGTGACTTTGCTAGTTTCCTACAAGCTGACCAAGCCCTAGAGTGTGGTTGTTACAAGGCCTACCAAGAATTTAATAATGCTAGAATATTTTTAAGAAAACTGGAGGTAACTTGAATTTGCTTAATCATTTTGTAATAAACAAACAAGAGGTGATTTCAGTTAGTTAGAAACTTTAAGGGGAAAAAAATTGTGGTAATTTAAATTTAAGTGGATAATTTTCTTTTGATAGCTTTGAATTATACAAGGGCTTTATAAATTCAGGGTACTATTGATCATGCATTAGTATTAAAATTTGTTTGCAGATGATGATTATGTAAAAGAAAGAGCATCAAAACACGCGGCTATCTGATTTGTACAAAATAAATCAGATTTCACTGTGTTTTGATGTTTTTTCTCTTTTGTATAATGGGCAAAAATAAAAAATGTTTCCTTCCCTGTCGTCACAGTAAGTAAAGCCAAGATGGTAACTAATATCTGCAATCCAGTCAACACACTGTGGCAGTACATAAATTGGTTTACAATTTAACTCTGACACATTTTCTATAGAATAGTCTCCAAACTATTATACAAGCATATGTTGTTACAAAAATAAATAGCGCTGCATTGTATAACTTGTTTATAAGAACATGCCATTAAAGTGGATGCATATAAAATCTCTTTATTACAGATATATTTCACAAAAAATCCAAACCAGCTTCAGAAAGTTATGAGAACATTTTCACGCTGGTATAAGAAACCGGGGAGGAAGGAATCGGATCTACGTGAACAAATTGAACCTATGTTGAAAGGTCAAAAGCTCCTACTGGAAGAGTTCTCTATGTTCTTTCCAAGTGAACGGCCCAGTGAAAGGTATCAACTTTTTAGGTCATTGCTGTGAAATCAGGCAGTTTGTTGACTGTTTTAACATTAAATTTGAAGTTTTCTGGAAAAAAATTCTCGATATTCGATAAATTTCTCTTCTATGCTTTATTTTATTCTTATGTTTTATCATGTTAAATTACTTTGTATATAATTCATGTCGGTAAAAAAAACCCCAAAGATACTTCCAAATAAAACTCTGTACAGATATAACCATAGGAATATGTAAACAAAGTAATTGAAGAGGCTTTGAAATGATTTCATCAAGCAAAGCTTTACGCCTTTTAAATGTGTAAGTTCGCTAAATCATTTTATTTTACTGATGTTAACAAAGATTTTGTTCTATTATGTAGTATGATGGATGACTTTGAGGAGGTAGATCTGGATGATAGCGGGGAGAATGAAGATAAAGATACGAGTTTTGAGGAGATCAATCTGTTAGATATGGAGGAAGTTTATGGTACGAAGAGATGCCCCTGTGAGTGCCATGATGCTGGGGACGATACCTACAGGAAGAGGAAAAAACATTGTTACAGATGTTGTCTAACAGTAAGACTTATTCATTTTCTTTTTTTTAACCATGTATAACCCTCTTAATTAAGGAGAATAAAATGCTTTAAGCAAGTTAATACAACAATTGTTACAGTTTGTTATACCACCTTTATCTTGTTGAATATTCTTTCATGCAAATGAACTTACAGAGTTGGTAAAGCTTGTAGACACAGAGCTGTCTTAAAGTGAATCTGTCCATATTGGAAGATTAGATTTTGTAATACCATGAATAATTATGTTGATAGCATTAAGTAGCATGCATGACAACAATCCACATTAGAATTATTTTTGGACATTATTGAAAGTATACCAGAAATAGTTTGTTTCTGGACTGGTATACCTCAATATTTTTTGGTTTTATAAATTTTTGAAATATTTATGGAAAATGTGCCCATTGTAGACCAGTCCACTTAAAGGAAAAGAATCTTGTAAAGTTGTTTGTTAGAGGAAGTTATCTTTTAAAGTTTCAAAGGGTTGATTAGTTCATCCACAATTGTAAGGTATTTCGTATACTGTAATGATCAATTTAATTGGTGTTTGGCATGACTCATGATATTACTTAACCTTATATTGAAATTATTATGTTCCAGTTTGGATGATGTGTAACCTGGTTATAAATACATTCATTATACATGTATATATAAATTACTAGTATTATTAAAGGATAGGAATCAATAAAACTTGAATAAACATGTTTTGAATGGTTACAATGCAAATTTACTTTAACTGTAGCATTAAATCTTTAAAAAAAAAGAAACAACATATGTTGATTATAATTGCCCATTTGTTTTGACAGGTTATTGATGGCGAATTAGTTTTTAAAGTGAACAAGTCCACCATAAAGAAGATAAATGTAACTTATGGTCCCCCAGTCAAATTGAGCACTCTTATAGATAAGGACCAGTCTGAAACCACTAGACAGGAAGTGGTCTGTAATAAAACAACAAGCCAGGAGCCAAACAGTACAGAAAGTAATGCTCTAGAGACTGATGTCAGGGAACCAGTAAATATGGACTGGTTTTTGGATCCAGAGACTGCAGAGAAAGAAAATATTGAACATTTCAATGAGGAAACCAGTACTGAGAAAGATGGCCCTCAAAGAAAAGCAAAGGTAAAGTAAATGAACAGTTCAAATTATTCTAATAAATGAACATCATTGCTGTACACTTTCTTTGATTCTATATTTTTTGGTAGAATGCTTGCATATTTTATTTTTCATTCAAACTAGCCTCTCACCACAGTGGATTTTAATCTGTTGAGGATGTTAAATGTGAGTAGGCTTTACAGCCTTTTTTTGGGCATGTGATTCCATTTATGTGCAAGTTTTTTCCTGAAATAATAAACAGAGGCTTATTTACAGATATTCCTCCATTAATTTAATAACAAATTATTATTATATTCATTATATTCATTATGTTATACTACAGGTTATAATAATAAAGTTTTACAATTTTTGTTTTCAGGGAAAATCCTCTCCAAGTAAAGAATCATTTCTACAAAGAATCAGCAAGTTGTCCAGAAATCAGCCACAGGAAAAGCAGACGAGATTATCATCTGTGATCAAAGGGAAGTCTCTGTCCCCCAAATTGAAAGGGGAACAACCCTGTGAGATTTCACAGGGAGATAATTCAAAGCAGCAGCAAAGCATGGAACCAATGGATGTAGATGAAGTGAATGAATCTGAAAAGGATGCACAAGGATCTACCAGTATTGAAGAGAATAATAGTGAAACAATGGAAGTAATGTCTTCGCAAATAGAGACTGCACATCCATTGTCAAAGAAAAACCTAAATGATTTTTCATCAAATGGAATAATTATAGATAATGAACAAACATCTAGTGAAAGATATATTGGAGATAAAGAAGAGATGGTCAGTAATAAATCTGAGAAAAAACTTGTATCTGAAGAGTTAGGGCAAACTGATGAAAATGTTAAAGGAACTAGTGATATTTTAGCAGCAGCATTTACTAATGCTCTCAATACAGAAGTATCAATGGATTCTCTATGTTTTCCTTTTCATATGTCTGCAGATAACAAAACTGAGTCTACAGATGTTGCTAATATCAAACTAAAGAAATCATTGCATGATTTGCAGAACAAAAGTGATATGACTGTGAATGTTGAAAATACTATCAGGCCAACAGTGTTAACCTGTGAGGTGTCAAATTCTGTGCCAGTATTTGCCCCTGCTGGTCAGAATAATCTCCATGTTTCAAATGATTCCTCATTCCAAAAGGTACCATCTTCTGAAAATATAAACCCTAAATCCAAAGAGATAGAAGCGAAAGATTCTGTTAACATACCAGAAAAGGTTAAGAACAGTGTTAATGATGGTAAAGAGGAAGGAATAGGAAAGTCAGTGCCAAGTGAGCTAAGTAAGGTAGACTATGTCTTGGAAGCAAGCAAATCACCACCCTTTTCTCCATTCTCTCCTTTTTCACCATTTGCTCAGGAGATACAGAGTATTACTTCTGCCCAAAGTCCTCGCTGTGCAAAGTCCAGGAGTAACAAGGTCATTATCCTCATCAGGCAAAGTTAGGAGAATAACACCCATTCCTATCAAAGGATCAGAAGAGAAAACAAACTCACAGTCATCGTTTCAGACGGCAGTGGAAAATTCACCAGTCATTCGTGATGTTCCAGTTGTTTCTAGTCCATACGAAAATATTGAATCTAAAGGTGGCAAATCCATTGATAATCTGACAAATAACTCTTCAAACTCTCAAGATAATAGTCAAGGTTTCTTAAGCAAGGTGAAAAATACATTAAATGAAGAATCCGGTTCAGATTCTCAAAAACATGAAAGTTCCTCACAAAAATCTAACAGTAATTCAGCAGGTACATCATCATCACAAACTTCTAATTCTGAACCTGGATTCACCAGCATTGTTATAAATCAACCAGATATATTTTCTGAAAATGCAAATGTTGGTTTTCCAAAAGTATCACAATCTTCTACTAATTCAGTATTAAGTCATTCTGGAATTCTTTCAGAAGAAAGTTTATTTCACTGTTTGTCAAAACCACAGTTCTCGGAAACTATTCCGACCGTCTCGAATCTTACAAATATTCTCCATGCGTTAGATGGACATTCACAAGGTTATTTGTTAAATGGACATGGTAGTGTGGATGATGGAAAAACACATTCAGATTGTGCCAGAAATAATACTGAAAACATAGATGTTAATCTTGGAAATGAAAATCAAAAAGAAAATATTGCCAGTGACTCTAATTTTGCTAATATTAAATCAACTGGTGGAGAAAAGGTGAAAGAAGATGTTGGTAAGGGGAATGACTCGCTCTCTGAGAGTGGTTCTGGTGACTCCGGGGAGGAGCAGAATTTGTATCCTCAATCTTCTATAAGTATTGAAAATATGGCTAGACTTAAAACTGGGCTATTTAAGGTAAGCACATTGTCTGACAGTGACACAAGCGTTATGTCTTCTCCTAGTGTTACTAATACTCATGTTAAACAGTCTGTTCCAAGGAAAGTATCACAGGAATGCAATCAAACCAGTGGTGATAATTCTGATTTGAGAGAAAGTATTGTGAGGAAAGAAGAAAATTCCAATAAGGTTGGATCGTCAATGCAAGAACTTGCTGCTGAACCTGCAATAATAGTTAAGGAGAAAGACAAAGGAAAGGTAAATGACAGTGGAAATGATAGTGTAAATGAGACAGAGGTCCAGGATAAAAAGAAGAAGCGTAAAATGTCTAGGAGAGAAATGAGAAGATCATTGCAAGTTAAGGGGATGGATAAACATGAAAATACAATGGAAATGATTGCTGTTGATGAAGAAGAGGAGAAATTTGAAAATGATGCAAATGCTACCAATGAGCAAACCATTATAGTAAATAGAAAAGACCAAGAGGGTGAAGTTAATTGCAAAGAAGAAATCGTTACTGTTAATGTAAATGCTGACAATGTACACATTGAAGTAGATTTGAATAATGAGCTGGATTTAGGTTGTGATAGATCTGAGTCTGTGAAAGAAGTGTCAAATGAGAGTGGTATAGTTAATAGATTGGAAGTGATTAAGACTGAAGAGCCTTATATAACTGATAGTGCAGGTATGTCTGATGTGCAGAGTATAAGTGATACAGTCAGTGAGGCTTCAAGTAGGGGAAATAAAAAAGCAAAACGTAAGAAAAATAAACACAAATCTGATAAAGACAAAGATAAACATAGAAAAAAGAAAAGACGAAAAGAACATCATGACTCTGATTCTACCCCAAAGACAGATAAAAAGAAAAAGAAGAAATCAAAAAGGAAGGAAGAGGGAGGAAAGATTGAAGTATCAAAGCCAGCTGTGGAAAAGGAAACTTCTTGTACAGTTGAGAAGGTAATGTATAAAAAAAATTATGTTGTCTTAGTTTAATAATCAATGGAATATCGGAACATTTTGAATATGGCACTGTCTGCTGTTACTTTAATTGATGAAAGTGGCAAAAGCAAGTTGTTTGTTGCAGCTGCCATTTAATGAACCTTTTTTTTTTTTATAGAAAGAGATTTATTAGCTTGTCTGTTTTGAGAAAAAAACTCAAGCTATTACTTTATGATAGCTGCATGGTCATTGTGGTTATGCCTCTTTTTAACTAAAAATGTTTGTCAAATTGATTTATGCCCTTAACAAAAGAGGGCTAACACTGCATGCAGTGCTCTTGTTTTAAAGTTTTGTGTCCTCATTTCATCTCTTCAGCTCATTTAATAGTGTATTTTTCCACCCTTTTGGGAAAAGGAATGGGTGCATAAGTTATGAAATTTGGTAGATTTGTGGGCAAAAGCAAGTCACACAGCCATTTTGTAATTTTTGACACCAACTTTAGAAAGTATGAATTAATATCAATGCAGAAACCACACCTATGCAAAGAATTTATTTCTACAATTCAAGTACAAATGTATTTGTTGAACAATTCTGGTTAAAGTAGCTCCCTGACAGTCATTTTCAGTATCAGACTTTTAAACATTGTTAATCTGTGTAATGTACTTTGTGTATTATTATGTACAAGTACATACGTTTGCATGCATACATATTTGTTTTTTATCTGTAATTTAGGAGCAGAAATCAAAGGAAGATAATAGTGTAGCAGTTTCAAAAGGTAAAGCAATCATGTTACTGGTATATAATCTTGTTCTTACTTAACTTAATAACAACTAACTTAATAACATAAAAGTTGGAGTTTGACTCATATAATTTATTATTTGCAAATTTTCAAGTTTAGCAGTGTTATTTTCAAAGGGAAAATTCAAAATTGTTTTCAAACATTTTTATTATGGGGAAAAATGAAAATATCCTATATGATAAATGATCTTCTGAGTGTAATTAAATGGTTCTGTTTAAATGAAATTCATTTCCTTTAATTAAGTCACATGTAAGCTGTCAGCCATTTCTTCCCGGCTATTATTATTGCTATTATCAATTAACAAATTTTGCAAATTTGATAATTTATATTATTTCCACTCACCAAAGTGATTTTAGTGACATTTTGTGATGAAGGGAGCTTAGTTCTAAACTGATAGTAAGGCATTTTTAGCTGGACTGTTTATAGTGGGGCTATGAATGATATATTTTTATTGTCTTAATGGCAGCTTTGTTTTCATACACTAGGAGCTTATACTTAAACCTCCTGAATTTGTGTAATGGAATTACCTTGCTTTGAATTTGGAAGAGTTCATTTAAAGATAAAAGGATTTCAGTATAAAAATTGAGCTGCCAACTACAGCATGGTCAGACTGCATGGATGTGTTCAGGCTGTCCTGGCTTTTTACTGGTGGCTAACTTAAGGCATATCACTTTAGATTCCAATTTGCTCTAAGGGTAATAAATGCATAATCTAAGTTTTAATCTAATCACCAGTTAGAGCTTATACTCTACAAGGTCAAGTTCAGAAGAAAATGTTATGGTGTACTCAAACTGTTTAAGTTAATTTTTGGTTATTTAATTTGAGAATATTAAATCATTTAAGATATATTTACATTCTAGACTATTTTTCTTTTTATTATAGGAGTGCAGGGTACCAATGAGGAAGTTCCTACCAACAGACCAGAAGACAACAGAGAGGAGGAGCCTGAGTGGTCAAAGTAAGCTGATGGGTTTGGTTTAGTAGTTTTTGTTCCGCCTATTGTTTTCTGATTGAAATGGCAAGAAACAAGTGTCACACTTTTGATTCTATGTAAAAAAACATTATTTTGAAATTCACCATTTATAAATCTGCTCATGACTGCTAGGGGTTGGGTATGTTAGCTTGCATTAACCACATTCATCCAAGAAAATGACATTACCTGGCCGGACAGGCTGTTGAAAAAATACTGGGGAAAATTGGTTAATATTGCATACTTCAAATAGCCTGATCTTCGCAGCTTTGGTGCAAATCCATGCAAAGGTTTTTAATTTATTCATGAAAGGAAGCTGTTCCAGTAAACATTTTGATATATCTAGTTGGGTGCCTTATGAAATACATAGTACTCAAAGGGGCACATACGGTCTTCCAAAAAAATGAAATTTTATTTCATTGAATAAACTCATAATATTAACAGTGTAGGTACAGGTTTATTGTAGCAATTATATTGACAGACAAGTACTTAGTCAATCGCTACTTGAAGTGTGCACACACTTCAAGTTTTAAGCTTGGGTTAAAATTTCCTGCATTGAAAGCTATTATAATTTGTTTGACAAGTTTATATCAAATAGATATACCTAGATATTTTTATATTTCAGAGAGACAGACAAAACTATTTTAGAAAATTGCAAAGTACATGGAATAAAGGAGAAAACTTTTATTAGGATCGCAAAAGAAATTGGAAATGTCTCGGCAAAACAGGTAGTTATCATTCAGTGACACAATATATCATTTTAATTCTCCAGTAATTTATATCCTCCTGCCCCTTAATCCCAAAGATGGGAATGAGGCAAGATTTCACCTTCCATCAAACCCACTGCACTGCTGGGCTTTGTTTTTGGCCCTTAATAGTAAAAGGTATTTCCATTATGGGAGCATTAAGGAGGAATTTACCATCTAACTGTCGCTACAGGGCATGGCCTTTACTGTGAATACAATAATACAAAAGTCAGATTCACGATTACGTATTCCCCAGTGGTTTGGGGTATCATGTAAGTAAATACGGTAAATGTGAATATTTGTAACCATGTATGTAGGAGGATGTCCTCTTTCATCAGTCTGTTTATAAGTTCTTTTATTATTATATACTTATAAATGTAATATTGAGAAATATTGATGAAATAAAATGCATATTTTCATATTTCGTATTTTCACTGTAAAAATTTATTTTTCACTGCAGTGAAGCATATTTTCCATATTTTCACTGGTTTCTTGCTGGACTACTTTTTTCTTAATTCAGCCAATACACATAATTAAAGGGGAATTCTTTCTAATCATAACGTTAAAAAAAAAAAAGAGAGAAAAAGTAAGTAATAAACAGAAAATTCAAGTTTTTTGTATTAATACAGGATTTATTTTTATCGGGTGATTTGAAAATTGTCATATTTCACTTGTGTCTACCGACACTCATGAAATATTTATTTTCATACATCTCGATGAAAATAAATCCTGTATTTATAGAAAAAACTTGAATATCCTCTTATTTTTCATATTCAAGTATAAAATTTCAATACGCATGTAGTTAAACTTTACCATGCATGAGTGAGTATTGAAACATATCTAAAGATAT